GTCACATACAAACATTATTAAACACGCACGCATCATCACAGAACTTTGTTTGAGGATTATTAGGTACTACCAATTGACGAAATTAAAAAAAGTTTTTTACTTAATACTATTTTTATATTTAGAGAACTTAGCGATATTGATGTAGCCGCAGCTTATCATCAATACGTTGATTTCTATCATTCATCTGAAACTGAGAATGAGCGTGATTCTGATGTTGTGCCTTCTACAAGTACAGGCGCTACTACGCCGGCAGCAGCGCGAAGAACTTTATCATCAACACGAAGGTAAGTATTTTAATACACTTTTCATATTAAATATCTTCAATATTTTTACTCTTTTAGATCTAATCGTATACGTTCAGATGGCGATTGGCGCTCCGACTGCAGGCAACTACTAGATATACTTTGGCAAAGGCCAGATTCAGCGCCATTTCGAGAACCTGTTGATACAATTGAGTTTCCAGATTATTTGGAAATAATATCGACTCCAATGGACTTACGCACTGTTAAGGAAGATTTACTAGGTGGAAATTATGATGATCCTTTGGATTTTGCAAAAGATGTGCGCTTAATATTTATTAACTCGAAGAATTACAACACTAACAAACGCTCAAGAGTAAGTGTTACCTTCATTGTTTGTGTAAAAAGTGGTGAGCCTACTAAAAAGATCGTCAATTCATTTTGTGAACTTTTAGTAAAATTCATCTACTACTTCTAATATTTCATTCTAATATCAATTCTTTCTCATTAATTTTTTGATAAATCACCATCATCACATATTTTTCTTTCCTAACCATGCTTTCAATCAATCATATCAAATCAAACATTGCAATGATTGACGATCGAATGTAGGATTATTCCTCGGTAAGATTTAGAATATTAAAAGAGTGAATAAATAATTAATTCACTTATAGTTATTATAATTTGTTAAGGTGTTAAATAATTTTTTACCTTTCATTTTCTACTTACAGATTTATTCTATGACGCTTCGCCTCAGTGCTCTTTTTGAGTCTCACATAAAAACCGTCGTCAGCAACTGGAAAGCTGCAAGACGGCGCGCTAATAAAAACAAAAAGAATAGTGGTAGAGGATCAAGTAGTAGTCCTACGAAAAGGACACAATCTGAAAGAAATCGTCCTGGACCTTCTACTCGAAGAAATAATAAATCTAATCGACAAATTCGTAGTTCTGACGAAGATGTCGAGAATGATGAAGATGATTCGCAGCCACGCAGTAGTCAACGACGAGTTGGAAGAAATGGGCCAACTCGTTCACAGGTTGTAACATCAAACTCATCTAATCGTGTTACTTCATCATCACATCGACGAATAAATGGAACAGAGGATGCACAACCTACACGTAGTTCACGACGTAAAGCGCATAGTCAAGAACTAAATGAAGATGAGGATGATGACGAAGATGAAGAGGAAGACGAAGAAAATGAACAAAATGAAAGTGAAGAAAATGAGAGTAGCTCCAATAGTGAAGCCGATGATGTATCAAGTGAAGATGAAAGTAGTGGGGATGGCAGTGATAGTAATAATAATGATGACGACGATGACGACCATGATTCAAATGTTGGACGCTCTCCAAGAAAAAAAAATAAACGAAAATCTCATTCAGATGATGATTCAGAAGAAAGTTATAATCCCTTAAAAGATCGTCGTCAAAATAAAAAACGTCGAAAATATAATAAACAAAAACAGACGCAACGTAAACGAAATGGTGTACATAAAAAAAGTAAACCCACTGCCAATGGTATTAAAAGAACGGTTTCAAATCCGAAAAATTCTCGAAGAGGTCAACGTCGACGATACCAATCTTCCGGTGATGAGGAAACAGTAGTAGTTTCCCAAATAGATGAAAGCACTCAAGATACGGACCAGCATACACCAAAGAAAAAAGGTCGACCACCCAAAGCGCAGAGTACAACATATGTTGCTAATGGTCCTAGTACAAGTTCAAGTACTTTACCAGAAGTCTCATCCCGTATTACTCGTGGAGCAGCAGGTTCAAGACGTAATCCTGCTGAAAACGACCATAGTTATCATTTGCCAGTTCGCAATGGACGCTTACAAGAATCAGATACAGATTCAAGAGAATTAGGCACACGTCCTACACGCTCAAGTGCTAAAAGAGCAATTCTTGAATGGGCAAAAGGAAGCGATATTGACGAGATAGATAGTGATGAGGCTGAGGAGGTATATACATATAATATGATGTTCTTTCACAATTTCACAATCATAAATTTAAAATTTTTTACATAGATATTGCCTACTCCAACACCAACTAAGGTTAATGGTACGGCAAATAATACGCGGTATTTAAATGGCCCTTCAACAAGTCGTGCCGCTATTGCTGCCGCAGCTGCTAACACTGGCACAGTAATTAGGCAGTTGCGAACGAATAGAAATACAGTTGTAGAACCGCGGGGGATTGATAGTGATGACGATGGTAGTGATGACGAACCTTTAGCTTCAAGTCAGAATTCACAGCTTAGTACACAAAGTAAGTTGTATGGGGCGTACAAGTTATTAAGTATATTTACTCATTAAAATATTCTACTGCAACACATTATAGGTAAAAGACAGCACTCAATACGAGTTGATGCCACTAGAGTAAGTCGACAAAGTTCTTTACAGTTGCAACGATTACGACCGCACGCGGTAGCAATTAGTACTAGTGCGAGTACATCACATATGACACGTTCTCACGCAACCTCAACTACATCAAATGCCGCGTCGTCCTCTAGCAGTAGAATATTACCCTTAAGCACGCATGATCACAATTACATTGGTGATACAAGACCGACAACAACAAACAGTAATGTGCGAAACACACGTCGTTTATTATCCCGACATCAACGAAATGCTGATGAATTAGATAGTAGTATTGATCCTTTGGAAAATGTGAGGCTTTTTGCTGCGGCTTCTCGTTCCAGACGCAACTTTCCCACCTCAACATCAAATGTATCAAATACAACTAATAGTACTAATGCAGTAACAACTGTTGAAGTTAGGCGTGGACGTTCACGTTATAGCCAAGAAAATTCTCAAACTGATGCACACGATGATGACGAAGATGAAGATGCTGGAGGTTCAGATGAAGGAACAGTGGGTGGCTCTAGTAATCACACCGAAGATTCTTCTGACTCTGACGACAATCAACCGTTGACATCGTATGTACCCGCAGCAAAAAGATCACAACGTAATATAGTAAAAAGTCGTAAAACAGAAATCAATCGGGAAGTGCGTGTGCAGCGTGGTTGTCGAAATCTTAAACGACCTCGTTATAATGAACAAAGTGAAGACGACGAACCAGCGCCAAGTCGCAGACGTACGAATGATAACGGTGTTGGAAGTTCGGCTACTGTGTCTACAGTATCATACAATAGATTAGCAGCAGTTGATGACGTCGGAGATGATAGTTCTGTAGACAGCGACGACGAACAATTAATAAGCGTGAGTAGTAGAGGAAGAGTGCGGAAAATTACTGCCAAAGCGAGAGGGATTTTCAAAGAGTAATTTATATAAAAATGAACTTTACTCTTGACTGTTAATATTTATATATATACAAAAAGAAAAAAAAAAGTAAAAATTGATATAATTAGGACCGTATCGTTTTATATAAATATTTTATATTTATCATCATTATATTATCATTGTTCTCATTACATATAATTATGGAAATATTCTCGTAGCATATTTTTAATGTCATTATTTTGTTTTTTATTTTAGTAACTTTTTTATGATTCGCGCACTCACATCATGTTTATATACATATACATTTAGATTTGCGTTAATATTTATTTTATATGTTTAATGTAACTCCTTGAGGGGTTATTAATTTAGTTTAAATAAAATTATTAATTATATTGAAATTTTGTTTTTATGAATTGAATTGTTTGTATTAAATATATAGACACTGTGGACATTTGAAAATTACATTAAAATAGTATTTTTAATCAGTGATTTAATCAGACTTTGCAGAATGCCATTGCTTTGTTATAACTTCAATAAAAATATTTTATTTTTGGAATAGTTAGTTACTTCTTTATTAATAATTTAAAAACATACAATCATTATCCATACTTTATACATTATTTACTTAAAGCTATGACTAATGTCGTCAGCTCTACCTAGCGATTGCCTACTCTTCTAATCCCTCTAATCTTGTAGTGAGTTTGTTGTTATAATTAGTATATATTGTTGGTGTGCATACATAAGTGCGGTTAAAAGATCTCATCTATAATTTGTTGCCTATATTTTATCGCTTGATTAAGAAACGCGCATAAATTCAGCCAGTTCATTCCATTAAGGATACCGTGCAATTCTGTTTGGCTCAAAGTCGTTTTCCCAAAATACTTGTATTTTATTTTCTTTAAAATTGGGCAAATTGCGAAAAAGTGTTTAACGTTTTCCGTTTCCTGTTTATTACATAGGCTACAAACAGATAGTGCACCACTTACGTAGGGTAAATAATTGAGTTTGATGAGTTCAGTACGAGATTTGAAAATTGTACGAATATTTTCCACAGTATACCATATTTATCATTAAAATAATTCATGGTCCCCAGATTGTAAGTTAGTTCTCTGTATGTTTGTCTAGAGTAGCTTGTTTTGGCCCTATAAACAAATCGGTCTCTATCACTTTGATCCTGTTTTAGGAGAATGCGCTGCTGCCAGTCAATCCAACCATTCATATCCTCTAAATTCAAATTTTCTTCATGTTCCTCGGCTAAATTTAACCATGCCGCAAAATATGAACTCCTTCTATCTAAAAAGTATGCCGCAAGCCGTTTGGTAAGTCTGCTATCTGTGTGTTTCATAACAGCGTTAATATATTGAAAGTGGGATTTTAAAGTGCCGATATGTAGTGTTGATAAGCCAGTTTCCAGGTAGATTGCGTAGTCTGGCGTATTGACCGGTAGACGAAAAATACGTTTGATAAAATAAGTCATCAGTTTTTCCACCTCATTATATTTTTCAAAACCCCAAATTTGGGAAGGATAATTCATAATTGAGTTGACAGCAGCTTGGAAAACTTTGTATTTAACTGAAAGAGCAACCGTATCATTTCCTAATGCTCTTCTCCATGTGCTGTTTATTGCTAGTTTTGATTCTTTTAGCCTTTTATTAATGTGTGTTTCGAATGTTGCATTATATATTATCCAAACGCCTAAATACTTATATGTCTTAACTACTTCCAATAATTTACCGTTAAGGTACCACTTTTCATCCCATGCAAGACGCCTTGCATATTTTTTAAATATTATTATTTTTGACTTTGCTATATTGACTTCTAAATTCCAGGTATTACAGTAATCGTTCAGTCTATTTATCATTAGCTGCAAGGCTCTTGGTGACTCTGCAAACAGCACCACATCATCTGCATACATCAGAACCTTTATTTGCATGCCATCAATCACGATGCCACCGTTTAAAAAGTTAACCAGGTCATCTGAAAATAAAGTAAATAAAAGTGGACTTAAAACACAGCCTTGCTTAACCCCAGACTGTGTAAGAAACCAATCAGAAATAATATTTCCATCCTACACTGCTGCTTTACTACCATGATACAAGCTCCAAATAATCCGCATCATTTTTGTTGACAATCCTAAGTTCCTAAGCTTATAGAAGAGCGCATTTCTTAGTATTGAATCGAACGACGCCTTGAAATCCACGAAAAAGACATAAAGTTTTTTGTTTTTCTCAATATACATTTGTAGCCTCTCGTTCAAAATACTTGCAAATACTTTCGCCGTGGCATTGTTAAAAGATATACCCCTATACTTTTCTGGATTCTTTGTGTCGCCTATTTTGTACAATGGGAAGATAATCGACTTGCGAAAAGAATCAGGTACATTGCCGCTTTTGTAGGCATAATTAAATGATGCTGTCATATTTTCAATAAATAGATCCGAAGCATATTTAAGGAATTCCATGGGTACTCAATGCTCTCCAGGAGCTTTATTATCTTTACACTTGCTTTACATTATTTATATGACTCGTCCCATTCAATTTTCGAACTTTGCCCCAAAAGGATTTATTGTCTTTTGCTGTTGCTATTGAGATAGCTAGCTCATTATAGTGAGTCGTTCTTTTATGTTGAAGAAGTTCTTTAAATCGTTTATTTGCCTGACTGTAATTTGTCATGTCTTCCTTTAATCCTGTTTTTTTAACTCTTCTTAGCAATCGAAAAGATGTATCTCTTAATATTTTACATTCAGAGTCAAACCATTGGTTTTGTTTTACGCCAGTTTTTTGCTTTTGTTGCAGAGGCTTTGCTGCATTATTTATACAATCCATCAAAAACTCAATTCCATTTGTTGAGCATATTGTCGCTCTATTTACTCCAATAATTTGTTAAGTGTTAAATTATATATTTTCTCGATACGTTTGTTCCAGTATAGTTTAGGTAACAACTGTAGACCTGAATTTTCCTCCGAAATAATTTTCCCAGCGTGGACACTTACTGTAATCGGCTGATGGTCTGAGTAAATAAAATCCTGCACTTTGAAGTTTTTGATTCTATTCAACCAGATCCCCGCTCCTAACCCATAGTCAATCGTGGTGGCAATAGTTCCTCTGTGAAATGTATGCTTGCCATCTTTGTCGCCCTCTCATCTTCCATTCAGCACAGTAAGACTTACCGTATTGCAGATTTCTATTAGTCTTCTGCCATTTCTATCTACTTTGTCATCCATAGCTCTGCGCTGTGCACTTAGTCCATTGGCTTGTAAAGTTGGGTTAAATTCCAAACATTGCTTTATCAATCTTCTCCAAGGATTTTTCCATTAACGTTTCAAACAAAAAAAAAACAGATCAAATGAGTTTACATAATTTATAAAATCGCAGTAATTAACTTTCTTTATTAGACCTGCTACCTGCTACAAAATGCTAATGCTAAAATATTTAAAATTTCTTTTGAATTTGAATCTAAACTTAAACTACAACTGACAACATTGTCTTTATTTAGTATTTTTTGAGAATTAATTGTTTGCAAAATCTCGCAATATGTTACATTTATTGACTCTAGGTTATTCCCATAAAGTGCCTGCAGTACATCCCTTTCATTACTGTTACCACATTTTAGCTCCTTTTCTTTCAAATTTTTGGAATAGTATTCATATATGCATTCAATAATATTTTTAAATTGTACGTAGAAACAATGATAATGAGAATACCACTTTGATACTGGTCAAAATCATAAAAGGGCACTGCATAATTGAACCATCACTAAGTTAAACAAACTAACACAATGATGCAATCGAAGCTGCAACAAAAGGGGATATAGAAAATTTCTTGTAATATTTCTTATAATAATATAATATATCTTAAAAAATTCAAAGAAATTTCCAAATCACTTTACAAAGTATAATTTAATATACTGTATTATACATACGTTGGTAACGTACAAGCAATTGACGTATGTTACATAGAATAATCACTATTTATGCTAACGTCCATGGAATTGCTGTATTTGTTGATGGTCTTAATCCTGTTGTGTCAAAATCAGTGGAAACGATTTGATAATCTATGCGAAATCACTTAGGATATAAGTACCATACTATAATATAGGATATATTGCCTAAGCGACATCACCATGGACCAACAAAAAGTAAATTTTTTAATTTCTTCCTAATAATAAAATATATTTTAGATATCATAATAGTGTATGCAAGAATATGACGAACCTTCTTATATAAGCAAAATTTAATAACGCAACTGAAAATCCATTATCCGATAGCACAACATCGAAATCTGTTATTGAAAATCTGGTTAGTTGCTGTTAAAGGTACACTATATGTTTACAAAAAAGCTACGTGCTAATGAAGTTAATCGAGTGCTTCATATGCAGTCAACCAATTTTTTATTTATTAATACAACTAGTCTCTTAAATTAGACTATTTAGCAGTTTTTTTGTATTATATATATACACAATACTTTACAATAAATACGGGCATATATAATTTACATTTATTATATTAAATGGCGAAACGTCTTCTTCAACCTCCTAAAGAAGTAAAATGTAAATGTGAGGTACCTGTGTATGTCAGTACTTCTAATATACCAAAAAAAAGTGTTCTAATTACATTTATAAGTATTTTGTTTTGAAATTGTTGTAATCTATTTATATTAAACCTTATACTGATTTAAGGATTGTTTTATTGAGATATGCATGATATGCTCAACATAATTTGGTATTTCATGTCTAGCTTTTTTTTTAGTTTTGAAGTGTTCCTTCGAACGTATTAGTCTAGTTGGAAGACTAATAGACTGTATTAATAGTCTAGTGTAATGCCGAGATTTGTAAAGTGGGCAAGGTCGTACTATTTTGTTAATGAAATCTACGTATACTGAATTACTACTGTTGAATTTAAGATGCCAAAAAGTTTCATTGTGGAATATTGATTAAAATTTCAGAGAATTGTGTGAAGTTCATATCAAACTTTAAAAGTATTTATGAGATATGATAACGGTTAGCAAATGAAAAATATGTAAATAATTATTTGCAGACAACACTGTCTATTATATTCTTCGCTTCATTTTTGTCGAATCCAAATATAATTTCAAACAATAAATAAGTTCGAACACGGACGAAATTCATACACATATTGGCGTTAAAATTTTTTTGGAATATTGAAGAGATCTCTTTCGGATAACAAACATAGCATTGGCATAAGATATAGTTTTAATTTCCAAAAATACAATTACTTAAATCGTGAGTTTATTGAATTATTATGAATTATTATTATGTAAAATTCTCATTTCAATATAATTAATAAATATTAGTATACAATAATTGTTTACATATATTGTCTATGTATTATAGTTCTTGGATAATTATATGTCAATGAATGCACGCAACATAATTACTTAAAATATAGTTTAAAGTAATAAAAAACTATTTATTTTTAACAAAATATATATAACAAAAATATATTATTTATTTATTATTTATTTATTATTTATTTATTATATATTTAAATATATTATATACAAAACTTTTGCTTAATTTCAAATCTTTTAAATGTGAAAAAAATAAAATAAAATAGGAATTATTAATATTCAATAACATATTTTATAGTGTGGTACTATTTTTAACATATTCCGCAGCAAGATTTTTAACTCTCTTTTGATTCTCTTCAGTACCATACTGTTCTTCAAATGTTAGATATTTCTTGAATAATGTACGCATTTTTTTTAATGGAATCTTCTGCATAACTGCACGTTCAAGTATGCTTCTATATAAAAGAAATGTATTCAGTTAAATTCGTTTATATATGTATTATAATATTGGATGGGGAAAAAAGTTTTCGGTGTTTTTCTGTTCGCTGAACTTTGATGTCTCATAACTTTAAAATGTTTAGTCGGACCTTACAATTTTTGACAGATAATTTAATTGTTGATGCATATTTTATTAGGATTTGTGATTGTATTAAAAGTTAGTTTACAAAAAAGTCTGATTTTCTTTACAATTTTATTGTAATTTATTCTTAACTGGCTTTTGATTTATAATTTTGGGTCTAAAATAAGCTTATTGGTCTAATATATAAAGGGTTAATAAGATTATGGATATACAAAACTATCATTTGAGTATCCATGTTTTCGTTCAGAAATACATCAACACAGAAAAACAGTTATTAACCATTTTTCTGAACTTGGTTACAATGAAAATGAGGCTGTGTTAGGTAAACTTTAAAAATATGTCATCTAGTAATAGCATGTACTGTCATAATAAACTCTCTGCCCAGCTAGACGAGTAATTTAAATCTCTGCCACCAACAGTAAATGCGATTGAAGTAAAAAAATTGAAAAAAATTTCAGTCTTGAGAATACATGCTCAGTTTTTTAATTTTTAATTATGTTTATTTCTGCAATATTATTTGGTGACATGAAAGTGATCTAAAAAGAAAAATTTGAAAAGCACCCCAATCTGTTTCTCAAAAATAAAAATATGGAATTCTAGAATATAAAAATATTGATTCCGGACTAAACATCACAAAAGCTGATCCAAAAAAAAAATTTACCCTATTTGAATTAATAAAACACATTAAAACGTACCTCGCTGAATCTATAAGATTATCTTTAACGAGCATATCAACATATTGTGTCCAAACATCAACGCGCTTTGGATATGATGTTACTACTTGCTCCAGCAGAGTTTGTGCAATTTCATTTTTATTATATTTATGATTTAGATTTGCAAACATAACAATTGTATTAACATCTGCAAAGAAAAACTTTGATTTGAAAGTATCCTTTATATATTGCGTACTTCTAATACTTACGTTCTCTCTCAGGCAAACTCAGTAGAGATTTTTGCAACATTTGTTGTGCTCGTTCTGGCATATCTATGCTAAAATATGCGGTAGCTACAGCTTTCCAAGCTTCAGGTTCCGTTTTATACTTCTTGGTTATAATTGAAATTATTTCAAATAGCTCCTGTCTGTTATTAGAATCTTTTAATATTTCTAAAGAGCGTAAATGAATTTGCATCGGATCATTACACGTTAGTGCCTCTTTCATTGTATTATCATAAGTTTCTTTAGTACCGTAATGCAATTCTAAATTAAGTAAAGCCATCCATATATTTAAACGTTCATTTAAATTGCGAAAAGGAATTGTTTTAATAGCACGTTGTGCTACAGCACGTGCTTTATCTATTTCTGTTTCCTGTAAATGGAAAACCATATAGCTAATCCAATGTTTTGTATTGTTAGGGTCAGACATCACTAAACGATCAAACTGATCTACTGTTTCTGGTATTTGATCTGGATTAGCATACTTTTCTTCAATTATTCGCAATCGTGCTTCTTCCTCCCGTTCTTGTTTGAATTTCTCTGTAGCTGTTAGTTTCTTTTTCTTTTGTGGTATTTCTGATGTTGCCTCATCATCCTCATCACTTGATACAGTTTTGTCACTATTATTAATATTAGATAAATCCATATTCCAAAAATTATCTATACCAGGTAAGGATAATTTTTCTTTAGGTTTACTATTTTGTTCAAGTTTTCTTACATATCTATCGTCAGGCGATTTGTCTATGAAAAATAGTGCATTATCTTCAATCGAAGTTTCTGATGCATTATCTTGCTTTTTTAAGATAGTTTTAGTTTCCTTCTTTATTTCTAATTTTGAAGGTTCTTTCTCACATGATGTTTTTTTCTCAGTTTTCTTCTTTAATTCCTTATTTTCATTGATTATTGAAATGTTATTAACTATTCCCGCATCCCATTTAGCATCGTTCACAAATCTTATAATACTACCAGGATCAGTAAAATTCTTCTCATTAGATTCATTATTAGTATTTAATGTAACTGATTTCTTTTCACTTTTAGATTTCTTTGCAGGTATTTCAGATTTTTCAATTAATTTTTTCTTTTTTGTTTCCTTAGATATCCGCTCAGTCACTACTTCTTCACTCTCACTGTGCTTCTTAATTTTTTTTTTGCTTGGGGCTTCATTGCTTTCAGAATTAATTCTTTTTTTATTTGGTTTAGTTGAGAATAACTTATATGTAGATTCAAGAACGGCAATCGGTTTTGTATTTCGAATAAAATTTAATTTGCAGAAACTTTGCTCTTGAACGTTAATGCTACCGCAATTTTCAAAATCATTGTAATGCAAATGACTAGGACAGACTATTAGAGGTTGGTTTCCCTTTTTTAAGGAACAAATAAATACACTTTCCTGTTTCAGTAAGACTTTAGCATTTATATCAGATTGTCCCACAAGATTTGTTGGCAATTCAGAATTGCGAGATATGTGTTTTAAATCTGCTTGCTTATTACTTATCCACACATGTTCACTACTGTAGTCGATCCAAAGTACAATACATTCTTGTTTATAACCCTTTTCCGGAACTTTTTTATTGACTACCATTGATGCTGGTACTATTGCCTTCAATTTTGTGTCAACCAATTCGTATTGCCACTCGTTAGTTTCTTTATATACACCAACAAAGCTAGCAGAAACTCTGTCACCTAACACATATTTAGCTATTGGATGTTTTAAATTTTTGTAGGCATTTCGGATAGATTCACGTTCATCTAAATATCTGTAAAAGAAAAAAATCAATAAATGAATTAATAAATATATTTGTCTAAAATATATATATATATATATTACTTCTCTATATATTCAGACGTTGAATTCAATAGACCGTCCCAAACATCTGTCAATTTTCCAGATACTGTAATTGTTTTTGTACTCTCCTCTTTGCTTAACACTTTTACATAAAGTGGTTGTTCCTCTGTTAGTATTATATTCGGATTGTTATAAACATTTATTAGTAACATATCTTTATGTAATTTAACCAACTTGTTAAAGTTTTTTATGGGCAACATTATTTCAATTACGTTTTCTGCAACATTTTTTATTGTAGCTTTTAAGATGTCGCCAATTTTAACTGTACCCCAAGTCTTCGTACAATTTTGTAGAAAGTATTCCACATCACGCAAACTGAATATATTTTTATTTACACAACAAATTTGCAAATCACTATTTGGTGGATGTATGTTCATTTGAGCCAGAAGTAAATCGTTAAAATCTGATAACAGACGTATGGGCACAAGTCCCTTCAAGTAGCTAGTTTCGTTTGCTTCTTCGTCATATTCTATTTTTATCTCTAACCCAGAATCAAGATTGTTAACAACTGTAGCAGGACATATTTCGCCCATTTTAAAAACAGAATCTACTAAACCAAGTGAGATTTGTTCATCCTTCCTAGCAGCTATGCGAAATTGCATTGTTTGGCCAACATAAAAATTATCCATCTCATTTGATAGCTCTGTGTTTAATTGCTGACGATGAAGCACTCCTTTAATGTTATTAAAAAATTTTACAAGTATGTTATTTTTATTGTGTGAAACTACAGTGCCACTATAGACTTTATTTTTTTCAGCATCTGCCAGTGAAGTTAATATTTTGCAATTTTTTACCATATATTCTGGCCGATTAGTAAGGTATAAATTTTTGTATTGTGTATTGATGGCTACAATTCGGCAACGTACCTTTGAGTCAATTTCCAAGTGCTTGGAAGTAGGAGCCAAAAATAATTTTTCTATAATTCCTATAAAGACAAATTTAAAGAAAATTAAATAAAAAATTTATATGTTGTTTATTTGGAAAAACAAAAAAAATTTTGGAAGGTATCAAATGTCATATATTATGTAGTTTACATAGAAAAGAATGGAGGGTAAAAACTTCACTGTATACTATTATCTGCTCGACGAAGCAAGATCATAAAGCTAAAGGGATTATAGGAACTAAGTTTATTTGATAAGACTTTTAAATCTGAACAAACCAAGAAACAATCATTAACTAGTTCTAAAAACCTTATTTGTAATTATTTGTAACTTAATGGGGAACTGACAAGTGCATGTCATATCCTAACAACCAACATCTTTACAGATACTTTCATTATTTATTTTTCAACAATCGCTATTAGTTTCTACATTAATAAACACTAAGGTTCGAATATCACTAATATTACTAATTTTGAATATCGTGTCGAAGGCCACGTTAGCTATTACTATTAAATAAATATTTTGCAAATACTTCTTATTGAAAAGCAAAGAAAAATATTATCTTGACACACTCTTTTAATTTTAATAATGGTATTTGAGTGGTTTTATAAGTAGTCAAGTCCACATATTTGAACCATTGTTGTTATAGTAACTCACTGGCTGGAGTTACTATCGGCACCAAGCCACTGAACGTTATGATAGGAATATTCTTTTTCTTATTTGGCACTACAGTTCAGTGTTAACCTTGGCCTCCCTATAGAATAATTAAATTCTATTTATTAATCTTAAAGGATCGTGTGATGATAACACAGCAGTTCTAATTTAAGCTAATTTGGCTTAAAGGCCTTAAAAAACACTAAGACCGCGAACTGACTAACATTTAATTATTTTTTTATAAACAATTAAATTCTCAGCATAGTAAGCTCTTGACAGCAAGGACTTCGCTTGCTTTTTGATTAGATTGCCATATACCTGCTTGCATCCTTGAATCCATTAAAAGATTCACATTTCATATGTTCGATATACAAATTTATGCATTAATGATAAGGAGTGAAGTATGCAGATCTAAGGTCAATTATTGCTTAGTTTTATGAAGTGATAAATAATAATCCAGTCACGGCGTAGAGAGGGCTTATGAAAAAATCTCGCAGTTAATAGAGAGTAAAAGTACTCAAGTGCACGGGTTCAACTAGCCTAAAGACAATAATAGGAGTGAAGACATCACAAACTAAATGGACCCTCCATTTCAAATATCATATATTATGTAGCTTACATAGAAAAAAATGGGGACAGTATGATAACTATGGTATATCAAGAAAAAACATTTTTTTTTATGTTTAATGGCTTCTATATATAATAATTTAAATTTTACCTTTCATTCTACCTATTTGCACGTTATATCCTTCTACTTTCTCATTAATTCCTTTTATTACAGCTGTTACGAAATCACCAGGTTTCACATCATCTAAAGTAAACACCTTTTCGGTGATAACTTTAGAATCATCTGTACATATATACATTGAATCCATTAAATCGTAGTCAAGTACACGAACTGTTAGCTTTGTTTTTTTGGCATACTTTGCAAGCATTTCATCTTGATCATAATTTCCTTTATAATTCGCTTTGATGCTTTTGTACGATATAATGCCCTTAAATTTATTATTTAAAATCAATATCACACCACCAGTTCCTACATGATGTACTCTTGCATTTTCTATAATATCGCCGCGTTTAAATTCCGTTCGCAAAGCTGCTTCCTTTCCATTATCTTCTTCTTCTATATCTTGCGTTCTTTCCAAATTTAATGTTAAATACACAAGTTTAGTTAGTGGCATGACATAGAGTATACGCGCCTTCAGTTTAGTTTTCAATTCATAATCTTCTGGTAGTGCCAAAGGCTCTTGTAGCTGATGTTCATTTATATAAGCAGTGAACGCTTCATTCATTATAGTACCTTGCAAGCCATCTTTTAGTTTTTTAGTTACGTTAAACTGTACAATACTGCCTGGTAATAAATAATCTAGATTCGCTTCCAACTGATTTTTGATGTTTAGTGAAGCTGTATCTAACTGCTTACATATACATGTACTAGCTGCTTTATCTGATGTAATTTTTTCGACTTTAAGAAAGATCAATTCTCCGACTGATGGAGCTGTTTTTGCCTTTTCCTTTGGTAAAAAACATCGCAATCCTTTTATTCCAGTTTCTATTATAAAGCCATGTTCTTGAATTTCTTCAATTGCGCCATTAAAAATGAAACCCTTTTTAATGTTATTGTGCAGTAAATCGGCATGAACTACTGAAGGTTTTAACGAAATATTAACTTCAACATTTTTGCGTGTGATTTGCTTCAGTTCCTGCACACGTCCATAAACAAGTTGACCGACCGTATATAATTCGTTCAGAGGTTTGTAATTATTGGCACTATCTGTTTTCTCCACAAACTCTCTAGCAACCTTCGTATATGCATCCGAAATTTGTAATGCATGTACTTGTGCCGATATGCGTCCCGGTAAAGATATTCTGAGATTTAAATTATTAATAGATTTAATTACTCCCAATATAAGCATGCTCTCCTGTATGGTCTCATAGTTAAGCAATTCTGCTGAGATTGTTTCGATAACATTTTTCTCATCATCCTCATTAATAATATCCTTTTTCGGCTTAGTTTTTTTTACTTTCTTCTGAACTGCTCCAAAAACCTGTAAATTACATTTAAAATTAACAACAATGTGCTTGGTTTTTTCAATTCATATAACTTACAATGTCTTGTTTTGGCTTTTCTGCTTGGTTCTCTTTAGGTGCTAAACCACCCCGAGGAAAACTTTTTTCTTTAACAGTCATTTTAATGAATTATTTTATCTTCATTTATTAATCTCAAACTATATTGTTAATAATTTAAAAATGCGAAAATCAACTAATGATACAAAACGCACGTGCGGCACCAAAACAATACCGCGCTTACACTTGCAATTTTGGCTTGACAGTGTTAAAACACTTTTGCTTACAGCGTCAAACAAACCTTTTGCAGAATTACAGCAAACATGTGACGTTTTCAATTGATGTAACTTTCCCAATCCAGATTCAATTTTAGTGCAATTATTATTTTATTATTAGTAAATCTTGAGCGAAATTAATAACACTTGGGATTAATTTATAACACTCTTGATATTTTCCCAGAGTAGCAAGATCATCCTGAAATTAAAAGCAGTTTTATATGACTTGGAAAGTTAAAAGTAATTTAATTTAATATATGCATTTATAAAAAGGTTTTTTCGAACAGTAGTGAAATACAACAACAAAAATTTTATTTTTTATATTATTTTAATTAATTGAATTTTTGGCTGCCCATACAGCTGTTTCGAGTATTGTCAAATACCCATCATCAGTGGTCTTGGAAATAATTCTTGTATTTAATTATTCGTAAATAATTATTTTTGAGACTGCAAGTACCAGGAATCGATATATGTATTTATGAAATATATAATTATCTACACTATTGCAAAAACGTTAGATTACTCTAAAAATGTTTGATTAGATTAAAAAATTTGACAGATCGAGAGTAAATCTAGATTGATTTCAGATTAACCAACCGAAAACGCCAAAAGTGTATATATTACTTTCACTGTGCACTGCTTCGTTCTAACATTAAGAATAAAATGCTTATGGAAATGTAAAATAGAAAATATCAAATATTATAAGAAAAATATTATGCAGAAGGTTTTCTCATCTTTTCGACAGCATCAAAACAAGCAAAATTTCAATTTACTGCATGCAAATGTAAATGTAAATGTAAACATAGTTGAAAAATCAGCTGTTTGAAATGAGAACAAACGAATTACAACGAATGTAAACACTTTAAAATGGCTCATTCAAAATGGACCATTTTCGGCCAATGCAAACGCCATATTAATCGTTAACAAATACTATTGGTCAACATTTGTGATTAAAGGCACTATTATACATGTGTTATACTTAGAGTACTGTATTTTTAATAATGTGCTATAAGGCCGTGTGAGAGTTCGAGTAAATGTATGTAAAGTAAATTGAAATTTCCTAGGGATCTTTTGCGTGCAGTGCAAATGTAAATATTTATTTCTTTATTTATTGGACTTATTTATTAATTTTTTTTTATTATTATAATTCTGGTAAATACCAATATTCACTGCTAACCGACATAATTTCAATTTACCATCAATTTACTTGAACTCACACACGTCCATGAGTCCATAATATATAACTTACTTATCTATTATATATTACATTGTTTAAATGGAAAGACGGCAACCCTATACGCCGGTTTCACTCTTATTATTTTGATTAGCGCCGCATGTTTTTGTATATTCTTTTCTGATAGCTTTGTAAGTTATAAAAATGCAAACATTAAGGGAGTACACGCGTAAAACTAGACGTGGGAATGTATTAAAGGTGAATATATATAATATAAATTAATTTCAGTTTTTCTAAAAATATTAAATGATATTAGGTTGTACGTGAACACTACTTACGGGATGACCTTAGTTGTGGTTCAGATATTTGCAATGTTTGTAACCGTCAAGATGTACCACCTGTACTATTACGTGAAAGAATGTTGCGAACCACACTATTTGATTTTCCACATTATATAGTGCTGGATAGTAATATTATATTGGATCAGATAGATGTACTCGAAGAAGACGTTCTGTGTAATGTTATTATATTTGCGACTGTAATGAATGAAGTCCGAAAGAAGAGTTCAGTAATATACAAGCGTTTCAAAAATGTTTTACAACTTAAAACAAGAGGATTTTATGCTTTCATCAATGAACATCATAAGTAGGTCAATTATAAATGTACTTTTATAAATTAAGTGATTTGTTGCTTATATACGTATATATGTATGAATATTTTTCAGGATTTTAAACAAAAAGGAATGTTTTACACATTTATCACGAAAATATTAAAAAACATGGATGAACTACATCCATGTTCTTTCCATCCCTATTCATATTCATATCTTTATAAATAACAATTAATTTGATACAAGATAATTTGTCTACAGTATGTGATGGCTTGTAATTTTTATTATATGAATTTTTTTTACAGAGATACCTATGTGGAACAAATGCCCAATGAATCTTCTAATGATCGTAACGATCGCGCTATTAGAGTTGCTACAAAATGGTATGATAAACATTTGCTTGATTCTCAACAAAGTAATTCATTCAAAAGGTCTGGTCAACCTCAGACGCGTGTGGTTTTCATAACAGACGATGCTGCATGTCGTGAAATCAGTAAAAATGAAGGTATACTTGCATGTACTGCAGAAGAGTATATAAGTTCTTTGTCAGATTATCCATTACTTGTTGACAAACTTGCACGTAAATCTTTCGATAGTGAAAAGCCTTCTTTACCAGTCTATCCTAGTCATCTTACAATGGTTGAGATTCATGAAGGTATCAGAACAAAACGTTTCTTGCAAGGTAATTTTCAAGCTTCAAGAGAAAATTACTTGGAAGGCAATGTTTCTGTTGAAGGCTACGACAATCCAGTAAGCTATATCATATTAAATATTTATAGTTGCTAAATAAATACATTTTTACGTTTATTACAGATACTTTTACAAGGGCGTGAGGCTATGAATCGTGCTGTTGATGGCGATATAGTAGCTATTGAACTCTTGCCAGAAGCCGAGTGGTCCACGCCAAGTGAGATTGTACTAGAAGAAGTAGAGAATATCGAAGGTTTAGAAGATCAAAAAATTGCCGAAAGGGAGATGGATATGTTTAAGAACACTGTTAGTAAAATCTCTGAGGAAAAGCGACCAACTGGTAGAGTCATAGGTATAATACGTCGCAAATGGCGCCAATACTGTGGTATATTACAAAAAAGTGTTCTTGAAAATACGAACCGTCATATTTTTGTACCAGCTGATCGTAAAATTCCACGCATACGTATTGAAACACGGCAGTCAAAGAAACTATTAGATCAACGTATTGTGGTTGCTATAGATAGTTGGCCAAGATTCTCTCGCTATCCAAATGGGCATTTTGTTCGCTCCCTAGGGCCTTTAGGTGATATTAAAACAGAAAACGAAGTAATATTACTTGAGCATGATGTACCGCACAGTAAATTCTCGGAAGAGGTTTTGAGTTTCTTACCAAAATTGCCATGGACAATTACTAATGAAGTAATATGCAAAATATATACAATAATAAAAAATAATTTATGTTAAAAAATATAAAATAAATTAAAATAACAAATATTTTTATAAATTTAAAGGACTACGAGAAACGTGTTGATTTACGTGACCTTTACATATGTTCCGTTGATCCACCTGGCTGCACAGATATTGATGATGCTTTACATTGTCGTAGTTTGCCGAATGGTAATTTAGACGTTGGTGTGCATATTGCAGATGTAAGTCACTTTATTCGACCTGGCAATGCCTTGGATAAAGAGGCAGCAGCGCGTGGTACAACTGTGTATCTTGTGGGGAAACGTATTGATATGGTACCAGAATTATTAAGTAGTAATTTGTGCTCTTTGGTTGGCGGGGAAGAACGTTTTGCGTTTTCTTGTTGCTGGGAAATGGATAAAGACGCTAAAATAATTTCTAAAAGATTTCATAAGAGTGTTATTAAGTCAAAGCGAGCAATGACTTATGAAGAAGCACAATGCATTATCGATGATAAAACTCAACACAATGAAATTGCACAATCATTAAGAAATCTTAATAATTTGGCAAAAATACTTAAAAAACGGCGCATGGATAATGGGTAAGTATTATAATTTATTAGACGTATATATATATAAATATATTTTATATATTTAAATACGTACATATTTTTTATAGTGCTTTAGTGTTAGCGTCGCCTGAAATACGTTTCCAAGTAGATAGCGAAACGCATGAACCACTTGAGGTTGAAGCGAAACAAATGCGCGATACTAATTCTATGGTAGAAGAGTTTATGTTATTAGCAAATATTACTGTAGCTGAGCATATAGCAGCTGAATTTCCTGAGTGCGCTATGCTTCGAAGACATCCCCGACCACCACCTACCAATTTTGATCCTCTTATCAAATCCGCACGACATCAAGGTTTTGAAATAAAAACTGAGTCTGGTTTGGATTTAGCAAATTCATTGGATCACTGTGTTAAAGGAGATAATCCATACTTTAATACAATGATAAGAATTTTAACAACACGTTGTATGATGCAAGCTGTCTATTTTACAAGTGGTACTGTACAAAAGAGTGAATTCTTTCATTATGGTTTAGCAGCACCAATTTATACACATTTTACTTCGCCAATTAGAAGGTATTTACACTTTTTAATACGCAAATTGTAATAACTTTTTATTATTCTAATGGTATATTACAGATATTCTGACATTGTGGTGCATCGTCTATTGGCTGCTTCAATAGGAGCGGATAGTACATATACAGATTTGTTAAATAAAAAATTAAATGAAAATATATGTCAGAACTTGAATTATCGACATAAAATGGCACAATATGCTGGAAGAGCTTCAGTAGCATTAAATACACATGTTTACTTTCGCGGTAAAACTCAGGATGTAGAAGGGTATTTATAATACATTTTATAAAAATATTTTACATAAAGCAAACGTTTTAAAACTATTTCAATATGATAATGTTAATAGTTTTTTATGGGCTATTAAGCCAATTTTATTTTTATTTAAAACAAAACACATCCATTCTCTTTAAAAGTAAGTTTTTTATTTACATTTATTAACAAGTTCAATATTTTATCTGTTTAGTTAGAGAATGTATGTGTTTTCTTTTAAAAATATAATTGATCTAATAGTCGAAAAAAACACAACAGTACAATTAAAATAATTCTTTAGTCATCAAAATAAACAAATTTCAATATTAAATATATTGTATAAAGCAATTTCTTGAAATAAAAATATTGAAAATGTTTTAAAATTATAATATATATTAAAGTATATCATCCTTTCTTTCCTTTAAAACATTTTGTAATGTTTTTATATCTCATATGCAGTTATATACTTTTTGTCCGCAAAAATGCTTTGCAAGTGTTAATACCTAAATTTGGTTTGGAAGGCACAGTATATCTCAATCCACTTAAAGATGATAATTATAAATTACCAGCTAGTGTCAAATTTACTTACAGCGAAGATGTAAGTAATTTATTCTGTTTTTATTATATTTTTGCTATATATTATTAATTTTTGTTCTCATTCTATATAAAGTATCACACACAGAGCTGTGGGAATGTGGTATTTCATGCATTTGATCCTGTAACCGTGCGCCTAACTTTAGATTCATCAAATGTACAACATGAAAAACTTGTTTTTAATTTAGTTAAACCATTCATAAAAGGATTTAGTGTTGAAGATGCGTCGGTAATGGATGTCTGTGAAAATCAGGCAAATATACAAGTGCAACAACCACCAAAAAAGAAATCCAAGAAATCGAAAACGGAAAAATAATTTCAATATATTATAGCTAAATCACAGGGACATAAGTTTCCATTAAAAGTGGAGTATTACCACCTTTAGATCATTTGTAATACTTGCATATACAATATGCATATCTAATATGTAAAACTTTTATAATAGGATTAAAAATAAAATAAATATAACAATGTTGTTGTGCTTAATAATATGTAATATATATAAATTATTTTAAATCAAACCATTTACAGAGTCTTAGAATACAAAAGTTTCATATATATAAATAATATAAATTAAAGCTTATTACTTAATAAGATAAGATTATATTTAAAAAGCATTTCCGATACCATACTCAGTTTTAGTTAAATGCGTATGAAATTAAAACTTAAGGTGTATGTTTCTATTCTCTTACGGTCAAATTTGAATGAAATTATATATACGTTTCTACTTATTTTTTGAATTTCATTAATGCTGCTCATAAAGTTTTCAAATTTAAATAAAGTAAATTTCTTTTTAAAGACAATTTAGTTTGCTATTTACTCGAATACCGATCAGTACAATTTTGATACCTCGAGTTCGCGGTTGTGCATAAAATAAAAATTTTATATATTCGTTAACTTTATCCCTTTGTGAAATTTAATCCTGTTAAAGTAATAGATTATATCATAAACTTACTAAAATGGCTGACAGTTCTAATTACTTAAATTATACTAATGATTTAAGTAAGTCAAAGAAATAATGCAATAATATTTACTTTAAAATATGAAATCTAGTTATGAAAAAATTTAATACTTTTTTTATGATTAATGCGAGTTAAAATAAATTAAAAAAAAAATTACATTGACATTCTAAAGTTATATACTTAAATTATTGAATATTTAACAGCGCTTATGTTTTTATATATGTGCTTATAAACTTCATTTAATGACATATATGTACATATTAATGAGTGAAACAGCAGGTGTAAGACAATAATGTTATAAAGTGTTTTTTAAATATTCCTTTTTTTAATTTCGATATAATTTTTAGTTTATAATCACTGTCACTATAATCACTATTTTAATTTAATTAACATAAATGAACGAATGAGCATATTCAAGTATAGATTTTTAAAAGTATATTAATTTCTTTAAAATATATGAAATTTGTCATATTCATTACTGTTTTATATAAAAATATTATTTATACAAAAATATTGTAATTTAATTCTATTGGAATTTTATATTTTACTTAATTTGAAGTATTTTCCCCTTTCAAAGAAAAAAAACATAGTTTCATGCAAAGTACACAGTTTTTTTATTTTTTTCTTCAAATAGTTTTTTTTATTGATTATTATAATGCAACTTTGTTTCGATTTGTTTTGAAAAAAATAATGTGAAAAAAGGTAAAAAGGTCGGAAGGTGTATAATATTGCTTCGTTTTCTATACCACAAATGAAGACAGAAGTTTTGCATATATTTAATTAAAATAATTCGTAAGCATATAATATATTGCAATTAAAATTTATTTCTTGCATAGAAATAAACATTTTTACTAAGTTTCAAATTCCAAATAAATTTTTTTGAATATATTAGTATTACAAAACAAAAAGAAAGTGCGTTCAACTTTGGAATAGATCCGGGGAACAGTCTTGAAGTGGTGCTAGGGTGAAAAATCTGCCGCGCCTATAACCTATAACACCAATTCATATATAATGCTGGACTGTGAACTCTTCTTAATCATGTAGTTCTTTTAACGCATATCAGTAAAAATGATCACTCAACTCAGCTGTCTAGTTAGTTGGGTGAACATTTTCCTTCCTTTTTTTATGATGTTTACTGACTTTTTTTTTGTTTACTTGCAAAATCCCCTCAGGATTTTTAGATTTCTAATATCTATGCTCTATTCATGTTAGGCAGAAAATAAGAAATAATTTATTTAATATGAATGAACACAATGAGATACTATCTACGGAATTTTACATATCACACAGATTGATGAACAAACACATACATATACAATAACACGACTGCAACTTGCTACAGAAGACATATTTTTTCAAAACCATACTTCCATAACAGTTTCGTTTCCAAGACGCATCCACCTCACATATATTTTTCACCTTCGCCTAACATGTGGTACTTGCCAAGCGATCCAGCAGGACCACTTAATCAAGGTTGTATTCACGCGCTGTAGTGTAACTTATCATCAATAATCTCGTCTATTTCGGTTTTGTTTCCACACTGCTATTGATTACAAGACGTTATCCATCTGTTCAATTGTCTCACAACGTATACATGTTGGAGCCTATATCATCTGTAGCTTTGTACTGTTAATGTAGTAAGGTTTCTGTGCATGGCCACATACTCTGTTATACAGTAGCGGTCATAGAAACCGCATCACGCATCAAATATCACATTTTAATTAAATATTCCAAAAAATTAAAAATACTTTTGTGTAATATATGTTTATTTAATTTTTGTATACGTCAATCGGATTCAAATTAGGGCTGCTTCCAGGCAACGAAATCACTTGAATTCCATCTAACATTGTAGTTCACATATACTTTTACTTACTGAGATATATCCAAATCATAAATGGAAAGTAAAAGTGATTATATATTTCCAAAGTATTAGATATTTTGAAATTGAATAACTTCTAATGCTTAAGTAGATATTTAAATTCTCCTTACGTTTTAATTAATTATTAATTATATAAAATATATTCATTATCTGAATATATCATTCAAGTTTTAGATCTGCAGAGAAAAACGAAAAGTTAAGTTTTATTATGAGATAATTTATTTACAGGTTATTTAACCTGTTATTCATTTAAAAGAAAGTGTTAAGGTTGTACGAACATGTCATCCATATAATTGCAATCTTTAAAATATCATTATATTCTTTATATGTATAGTAATAATAATCGGTTAATAAAGAAAATTCTTATTGGGGTTAGAACAAATTAATAATAATTTAAATTGCTTGTAATATATTTATTTATAATAAGTAGTTGAAGAAGGCACTTTTTCAACATCTCGATAAAAAGAATTCTAATTAAATATTTTAGAATTCTATTCAATATTCATACTGATGTTGACTCATTAGTAGATTCGAAATTACATTTATTATTATAATTTATATTTGTCCTCATTTAACCTTCAGGTTATTACAGAGGAGCGTTATTACATATAGCAATAATTTAAATAGCTTACACATATCGTTCTTCAAATTTTTTTCAATGAAAATTATAATCTATACAGATTATATAGTAAGATAGATAATAGAATAGTTAGTATAATACTATCGATCGCTTTATCAGCAATCTGATATAAATTCTTAATTAAAGACGGTTATAATTAGAGTAAAATATAATTTGAAGTGAGAAGAAATCGGTGCGATTAGCTATTGAGTGATTATTATTGCTATTTAATAAACTATTTAACGGTTGTAGATAATAGATTCGTGATTCGAATTGGAATATGTGATCTGAATATATATATATGATATGATATATTCATAATTCATGAGTTTCATTTTGTTTCTATTATATATAGTTATGTAATTGTAATTAAAATTGAAGAACTAACTCAAGAGCTATATGCTTCTAAATAAACATAAAATTAAGAAATCTTAAGATAAAGTAATAGACCACAGAACAAGGTTATAAGAAGTTCTGCTATGATAATGTTTTAGTGTCTGGACTCATTAATGGTCTTACAACCAGTAATATAGCCAGCAATATTACTTTATTTAGTGCAATAAGTAGATAAGTAAACGATATAGCAACAATATCCCATAACATTGTGGATAAAGTTAAAGTCTTGGTTAGACTACATGCCAATTGCTTTGCATACATACTTAAATTACTGTCAAAATTGAAATGGAAGGATAAAGATAGAAAGAATATCTTTGGAAAATGAAAAATTAATTTTTAGAAATTTAGCAAAAGTGGTTTAATTTAGATTGTATTTGGATGCGAATTAAAGTAAGAAGTGCACTCAATAGTTTTTACAAGAGTCAAAAAGAAAATATTAGATTTCAAAAATAACAAAAGCTGTAATGCAATATATAGCACCAATAGACGAATTTTTTTTTTTAAATTGAAAAAAATTGAAATAGTTAAGGATAGCAAATGTTTGTGGAAATTGTCTAAAGAAATATAGGACACAAATGTTGAAATCGGTACGGAAGTAACAGCAAATAATTCTGAATGTCATTTGAGTAAAATTATAAATTCCGTTTAAATATCTGCAGACCTCTAATACGCAATGAAGTAATAAAACATAAAGTACTACATGCTTCGATTTAAAAACAGTTCGATTGAACAGGACAGTAGGTGAGAACAAAGTACCTTAAGAATTTTTCATAAATGCCAGAAATCGTAGAACTTTAACAATTCAAAGGTGTAATTTGTAATGGTATTTTTTCCATTATATTAGATATTCCTAATAATCAACTCACGGAATAGACCGAGTGTAATTAAATTCTATATGAATATTAAGCTGAAATTCAACCTGAATGCTTAAAGGCTGTCAATATTTATAAGTGGTCAATAATAAATGATTTGTAATTTAAAGGGGGAAAAAGTTTACACAGTCTTTGTCGATTTTAGGGCAGGTTCTGATAAAGTATCAAAAACAAAACTACGAACTGCAACTGTCTATGAAATTGTTAAAATTTCTTGGAAATGTCTATAGAAGCATGCCTCAATAAAAGGGTCTAGCATTTGTTTATTGATATATATGCAGATGAAAATAGTATTAGATGACATTTACAGATTACAAAAAATTATTTCCCGGTATAATACGTAATACGCTGGAGATAGAATATAGAGGTAACAATTCTAGAATCACGATTTCTAAAACGGAATCATTAATAGCCTAATAAAGATAACAAATGAATTATAGTATTGTAGTTATCTTTTAGAAACACCGTTCGAACATGAAAATATTTTTTGAATTGAGGAAATATTTTGCTAACTCGTAATGGAAGTTGTATAAGACAGTTTGCAGGAAGACATTTGTACTCACTAGATCTGCATTTAACGTATATATAAAATACTCTGTGTCAGTGTAATAAATGAAGGCAGCTCAATTCTCTACCTAAATCAGTTCATAAGGCACCATATAATATATTTTGTAATGAATAGTTAATTAAAATTAATAAATAGTATAATTTTATTGAAAAAAATGAAAATAAAAGGAGGAAATGAAGAGATATAAATATTTATAAACAATGGCACTAGTATCAACTACTTTCAATTTGATAACCATAATATATCAATATATAATCAATATATATATATACATATATTGAATTCCCACTGATTCATAATATATTTTAATAGGAGTAAATATATAAGCCACGAGAACATATATTTGCTCATTATGTTATATAGGGAAAAGAAATCTCCAGTAATACAGAGAAGAAATTGGGAAAATCTCCAATGCAGCGGAAGAGCTATATTGCCCGTAAAGAGTTGTTTTTTATGTTGTGTACATAAATTTAGTGTATAAGATGTGAATAACAATGAGATAAATAAACTTCGCATAAAGAGTAACTTCACACGTACTATATGACTGACATCATTAGTATTAGGATTTTTCCTTGCTATTGTTTTATGTTATATGTCAAACAAAATCAGTCATTGTTGGTGGTATATGCACTAAATTGTCAAAAAAAGTAAAGAATAGAGTGAATACTTGGGCCAAAAATTGTTTGTTGAAGGAATACAAGTTAATGTTTGATTTATGATCTTATTTAATCATAAAATTTTTTTTTTTTATTTTATCACAATAGAACCTTTTTTATTAAAGACTTGTTACTATTTGTATCAAGGGAAATTTGACATCACTTTAATTTACGCGCATGCGCTGACAAAAGAAGAGGACGATTTGACCAAAGGATTCGAAGAAATTTATGACGCGTTTATACCGCATTATCTGAGTTCGGTATCCTTTAATACGACTCAGCAGAATGGGTTTTAGCAGCACCCTTCAGACAAGGTGATTCCTTATCTTATCAATCAATTTTTTCAATGTTAACATAGAAGAGATCATGCACAGGATTGCTGGTCATCGTAATGGAATAACATTTTACAAATGTATTCAAATAGTTTCTTACGCCAACGACATCAACATCATTGAGCGTAGTGATGTTACAGGTGCCTTTGTTGTTATCGAAAAGGAATTTGTAAAAATGGGCTTATTGGTGTATGAGGGCAAAACGAAGTATATGTCGGCTACATGTATAAATGTTCGTCGCTTAAATGCCGAGCTAGTGGCTGACGACTATATTTTCGAATCTATTAAGGTTTATCTATTAAGATAGTTATCTTGGCACCATAATAACAAACAACATCGATGTCATCCTGGAGATCTAACGAAGACTCACCAATGCCAAGAGGTACGGGTTCAAGAGGGAATTGGGATGTGGAACCCTATCTCGGCAAACAAAACTTACGTTCTATATTTAATACGGAAGTTTCAGAAAAAATGGTGTAGAGGTAGACCATATCTCCAGTGGAGTCATCAAGTTAGGCGCCTGGGGAGATATGGTGCGTGAAACCCGTAACGTGTTATGGCCATTTCAGTAAAGTCAGTAGAACTGATAGAGTTTATTATATTTCAAATCAATGTATTTCTTTCTTATTGTAGATATAATTAAGAAAGGCCAATTAATCATATTTAATAATTACATATAACATAATATGTATGTAATTGTAATTACATATAATTATATGTAATGTAAGCAATTATATTATTTATAATATTGTAAAATAATGAAAACTTTACGTTATATTAATTAAAGATTATAATTGTATGGAAAGTTTTAGTTGGAAGAATTAACAAAAATCTAAATGCAAATTTTGGTTGATAATATTTTGAATACTATTAAATAATTGTTATTAGTGGATTTTTAATTTTAAAAATCTTTTTAAATTTTTTTTTTTTCATTAAAGAGTGGCATAATATTTTTGTTAAATAAAAAGTGTTTCAAAACGCTTTAAGTATAAGAAAGTTATTTTTTATTCATTTGATTGTACGTAATATGAAATATTGTACTTTATTTATAAAGACTGTATTTATTATAAAGACTACAATCGGATATAATATAATTGAACTCTGCTCAACTTAATTAATTAAAATTCACTCCTTTGTTTTTCTTATTGTGATTAAAACTCCGGTATATGCCAACCATTAACGATAAAAAATTAAATTTTGTCATACGATTAATGGCCTTAGTTGATGTAATTAATGTAGGTTATATGCATAAATATACTACGTCTAAAAAATAAAATATCAAATTTAATATAAAAAATAAATATTATTGGTGGCATATTCTTTAGTCTTTAGTGTTTGGTGGCATTAAGTGTGTGATGTGAATGGCTTTTTAAATGTATTTTGTAAATAATTTCTAAAAATAATGCCATCAGCAAAACTTCAATTATTTTATAAAATTTCATGATTGATCTAAATTAAGATAAAAACCAAAATTGTCAAAACCCCATGAGTCCGTATTCCCTTGGATAAAAAATTAAATATTTTACGAATATTTTTTTTAATTATATATATGTATATAATAAAGACTACTAATGAAGCTAATTAGTTAAACAATATTTATTTTTTCATTATTTAAATATTATATGTGCAGATAATCTCTCCGAAGTTCACGATCCTGTTTATTTGGATGCATATCGCCGATCTCTTTTAAATCCTACAGATTTTTGGGGTCAACAAAGTCAATTAATTGATTGGGATCGTCCCTGGGATTGTGTCTTGGATAACAGTAATCCACCTTTTACCAAATGGTTTGTAGGGGGTTATGTCAACGCTTGTTACAATGCTATTGATCGTCATGTTTTGAATGGTAATGGAGATAAAGTTGCTCTCATACACGATAGTCCATTAACTCAGACTGTTAGGCATGTAACATATCAAGAACTTTATGACCAGGTAACAAACAAAATAATGGTGATCAATATATTATACCAAATATCGTTATTAAAATTTCAGATAACATTACTTGCTGGTGGAATGGCAAATTTAGGTGTCACAAAAGGTGATCGCGTTGTTATATATATGCCCTTAATACCCGAAGCTATAATGGCTATGTTGGCAACCGCACGACTTGGTGCCGTACATTCTGTTGTTTTTGGTGGCTTCGCTGCAAGCGAGCTCTGTGTTCGTATTGAGCATGCTAGGCCAAAAATAATAATCGCAGCAAATTGTGGAGTTGAGCCGGGAAAGATTATACCATATTTAAATATATTACATGAAGCTGTTGATATGTCGACCAAGAAACCACTATGCAACATAATATTTCAACGTGAAAATGTACCTCCTACGTCAATAAATCCAAAAACTGATATTTCTTGGTCAGTAGTATTAAATTTAGCTGAGCCTATTGATTGCGTGCCAGTAGAAGCAAATGATCCTTTATATATATTATACACATCAGGTACTACAGATAAACCAAAGGGCGTACAGCGGCCAGTTGGGGGGCATTTAGTTGCTTTGATGTATACAATGAAAATGCTTTATGGTATGAAAACCGACGATGTTTGGTGGTCGGCTTCTGATCTTGGCTGGGTTGTTGGACATTCATACATATGTTACGGTCCACTCTTATATGGTATTACAAGGTATTAAAACTTGTTTCTTTTTCTTTATTATAAAACTATGTTAGTAAATATTATTGATGTAAGAAGTTCTATTTTAAAATACCATAAATTAAAGAAGTTATTTGTTAATTCATTAACACAATTTTACTTTGTTCCAAAAATGAATATTTTATAATTTAATATAAATGTAGCGAACGAACATTTCTTTGTCTTTTAGACCAAAAAAGGCTTCATCCTGGGCCAATGAATTATTGAATATTTATTGTTTACATATGTATAATATATTTATACATTTACGTATAATTTATATACATTTACGTATAATTTATATACATTTACGTTTATATTTGTAAAGAATACTCAATAATATTTTTAATTGTAGTGTCATGTACGAAGGAAAGCCAGACCGTACACCAGATCCAGCTCAATATTTCAGGTAATATACCCGTTGATAACTTTTAAATAAACTCAATTTATTGCTTGTTTAGAATTATTGAGCAACATAAAGTGAATTCATTATTTTCTGTACCAACTGCATTTCGAGTTCTACGACGTGCTGATCCAGATATAAAATATGGACGGAAATACTGTTTACAATCTTTACGCTCAATATTTATTGCCGGTGAACATTGTGATAGTGAAACCAAAAATTGGATTGAACGTATCTTTAAGGTGCCTGTATTAAACAATTGGTGGCAAACCGAAACTGGTTCAGCAATAACCGCAACCTGTATTGGTTTTGGACATAGTCTTAATCCACCTAAATTTACGACTGGCCTACCGCTTGTTGGCTATAATAGTAAGCATTATTTAAATAAAAAAATATGTATTAAAAAATCTATTTAAAATTGTTATTTTTCATAGTAAAAATTGTCGAAGCGGACGGTAGCGAATGTGAGCCATTAAAACTAGGCCGAATTGTTATAAAACTACCTTTGCCACCGGGAAATATGTCAACCTTGTACAGAAATGATGAACTGTTTAAAAGACTTTACTTTCAAAAATATCCCGTGAGTTTATTATTTAATTCCGAAAAAGCATAACAATTGTTATAGATCTTACAATTTTTTCGATTTAATACAACTATATACATTTTAGAACCGAGTTATGTAAGTATGATATCAGCCCAATTTAACCCTATTAAACAATAGATAATATAATTCCGAAAACAAAAGCAATCGAGCCTTACAATATTATAGATTATAGATTTTAATTTGACAGAAGACATAGGTGCTCTGACTACGCATTTAACCAATATGTTCTGTTTCTTGTTATAATGAGTTTTAATAATTTTTATTGTTTTTAAATTTTATAGTAATAATTGTTATGGCTCTGTAATAGGGTTTAAAACGAATAAACGAGACGTTTTCTATATTGGCTGCCATTTACATACAGCCACACAAAACTCATGACAATTTTAAATAATAATATGAATACGAACACCCATTAGTAAGGTAAGGCTTAGTAGTTACCACAATAGACTGCATAGTAATTATCACAGTATTGATAATAAGTACATAAACTTCTGTACCCGTTTGAATTTTTAAAAATTATAAATTATAATCATTTTACTCTAGTGATTTTATTTTAATTATTATTGGGATATTTTTGTGTTCAAGGGTTAGGTTAGATTAGGTTGGAGAGGAGGCATTGTACGCCAATAACCACTTGTGCTCAAATAATGCATCGTTGTGATGGCTATTGTTGTTCATACGCAGAAGGACCTCTGAAAGAAGTGTAGTGGTCAATGCACAGACAACACTAAAAGACACGATTCCGCTATTCAAGTAGAACTGAAACAACCTAACATATCTATAAACAATTCAAGTTCAGGGGTACTACGTAAAAATTTGATGTGCATGACTTATATAGCAAATTTTGTATTTGTATTCCAATATAAACACTTTGTACCAAAACTTTATATTAAAATTCATTGATAAAGAGAGAGATTAAATTATATTGCACTGTCGATGAACCACACGGACACTGGCGGTCTTGAGCACAAACAATGACCCATGGTGATATCACGGTCAATGAATATAATAAAGAAAAATTCTGAATGAAATTGATATTTTGGTTTAGATAATGGATATTGGTATTCGAATTCAATCTATAAGCTATCCAAACTTTAAATTAAAGAAATCAGTAGTCAATTTAATAAATAACTTCACACCTTATATATGGAACATGTGATATAGATGAATATTGAAGTTTAACAAATATACTGTTTGAATCTATATTTTTTCAATATTGAGTTTTTTAATATATTTCTATTTTTTTCGCTTTGTTTTTCACGACATTGAAAAATTCAACTAATAAAAAAAATGTGTTTAAAATAAATTGGTACACAAATTTAAAGTGCATTGCTCAGCTTTCAACCACAATGCAAACGTTTTTCATTTGAAGCGGTTGACTTAGTTCAATTTTAATATTTTTGAAAGAGTCACATCCTAACAGACAATGCATTACTAATTAATCAGTACAAGTAGTAGTCTGTTTCATATGATATCCGATTTGAACCAAGATTCAAGTGCAGTGCTAGAAACTGTAGATTGCTTCCTGATGGTGAAACTATCCATTCTCAACTTCACATAATATCTACATCTTTCTTCACATGGAAATCATTTACGTTAGAATATCTACAGTTACGGTTTGATTTCTTGAAAAATTGAGAAAAACATTTCCATATTTACATGGTTAGAACTCAAAAACTCGATCAAACTAAAAAATTTCTTTAATTATTTGATTACACTTAAAATATGATATCTTAAACGTGAAGAAAAGCATTCGTTTTAATAAAAACTTTTAGCATATGGACGAGAGTGTACATATATGAGAAGAATGTCGATGGGAATGATATGAATTAGTTAGATTTATTAAAACAATATAGTTTTATTGAATGTTTAAACCTCAAACTGAAGAAACTCTTCTATTATTTACGTTTAAGATGATTAGTTTTGGTGAAAGCGGAGGTTCTTTCTTTTGTAAAAGTAATAAAATTTTATTTAAGATGTAGGAAGATATTTTTTAAAAAGAGGTTTTTCGAACAGTAGTGAACTACAACAATTGAAATTCATTTCATATTATTTTAATTAATTGAATTTTTGGCTGACCATACAGTTGTTTCGAGTATTGCCAAATACCCATCATCAGAAGTCTTGAAAATTATTCTTGTATTTAATTAATCGTAAATAATTTTTTGAGACTGTAAGTACCAGGAATCGAACTCGTGTCCTGCCAAAGACATTTTTTTTAAAACTTAATCCCTAATTTAGAGTTTGTTTTTTAGATCTATAGTAGGACCCTGCATCAAGTACGTTCGATTTTGGCTTTAGTTGTTTGCCTTAATCTGACTAGATCTGCTCAAAATTGCATAGGAATGTTTAATGATGTCTTTTTTTGTCCTACTTATAATTTTGAGATACATAAAATAATGAAGTGGATATTTAATGCTCTACTTAAATTGTTATGTACTGTTATATATAACATATAATCAGAGGCGAGGCGTCGAATGGTTCAGAGTGTTCACTGAACATCTTAACAAAGCTTCCTTTTTAGATTTTTTTTATTAGGTAAATAATCTCGCTATATTGCTACTTAACATTTTTTATAATAGCTTTTCTAAACAGATTAACATAAACACAAAACGTAGAATACAAACAAAATCACACATATGTTAGATACACCCAACATTGCTTATAATTAATAAAAGAGAAAACACATTTCTCTTGAAATATACTAAGGTGCAGAATATAAACTGCACCGCGTTGCTTACAAAGACTATGTTCAATATTGAAAACACAGCACAAAACATACAAACAAATATATGTACGTAAAATAATCTTAACTCTTAAATTAATGCGTGCAAGCAGTTCAATAAAAAAAGTGCACTTCCAATGTTTTGCAAAGTAAATATAAAAGAGAAAAGAAATGACTGAGCGAAAATCGTTTTACATTTGACGAGAGGATCATTCCACTAAACTGAACCAAAAGTTTATACAAAGCATGCAAATACAATCAAAGTCACGGTTGCTGTTTAATATGGGGAAATGGTTCAGTATAAAAACTGAACCGGGCATTGTAAATACAAAGTAAAAGAGTAAATGAAGAGTAAATGAGAGTTTCTTACTCTTATATAGAGGGTGGAAATAAATCAAAACAAAGTCATTATTGCAATTTTATACTAGCAAATGGTAAAAGTAAAGAAAGAAATTAAAGAAATTTGAAGTGAAAAATAATATTTAGAAATGGATAAATGTGTGATTAAAAATTTGATTCAATGTCTTTTTTTAAACGATCTTCTGAAAAAAAGATTTTAATTCATGAAATGAATAAACCAACTCCAGATATGAAGAATTTGATACCTGTTGTAAAAATGTCGAAATCTATGGTAAGTCGTCGTTTTCCAACAGCTACAGCTTTATGGTAAATAAAAACCAGTGGATCACAGGCTGCGAACATTTAAATAAATTGTTTTGTTGGTCTTGTACGCTATTTGCTTATGGAAAGGACAAAACTTAGAAGTAGGGGGAATACGTTATAGTTGGAATTCTGTTTTGATTAAATTGTGAACACCTTGCCAAAAAGCTGACGCCTCGCTACTGCATATAATATATAATATATCATATTAACATAATTTCTTAAATTGAAAATGTTGGTAATAGTGATGAAGTTTTCCAATTGAAAAGAAATTCTTTAATCTTGTCAATTTTTGTGTGGTCACAGCAAAAAAATTTCATCACCTGATTCTATTCGGTTATATTTTTTGTCATAGAACATAAAATTCTTTATTAAATTAAATCTTTTATTTATTAACATATTAAAATATAATATACATTATATATAATTATGGAATAATTTTAGGGTTATTATGATACTATGGATGCTGGTTATAAGGATGAAAATGGTTACATATTTGTGACAGCTCGTGATGATGATGTTATAAATGTAGCCGGTCATCGCATATCAACATCAAGTCTTGAAGATGCGGTATTACGACATATAGGAGTTGCAGATGTTGCTGTCTTTGGTGTACCCGAACCGACGAAGGGTCAAGTACCGCTTTGTTTATATGTTAAGAAGTCTTCATGTAGTAAAAATGATGCAAAATTATCAGGTGAAATAATCAAACTGATACGTAATGTTGTGGGCCCAATTGCATCATTTCGGTTAATTGCCGCAGTAGATGCACTACCAAGAACAAGATCAGGAAAGACAATGCGCAAAGCTATGGCTGATTTTGCTAAAAATGAGCTAGTTACACTACCAGCAACTATAGAAGATCCAAGTGTATTTGTAGGTATACGAACAGCGCTTCAGAGCCTGGGACATGCTATGAACACACCAGATCCAGTTGTTACAACAAATAATTAATTGAATTTCTTAAGAAAATGTTATACTATTTTAAACGGATGAATGTAATTTTAATTTTTCCCCGCATTTACAAACAAATTAAAAAAAAATTGGATATCATAATAAGAAAAAAAAATTTTAAATTTATTTCTAAGTTTAACCTTTGCTTTATACTCTTTAACATTATCGTAATTCGGTTATAGAACATCATAAATTTTAAAGAAAACTGAACTGAATTTACTAAATTAAAATGCAAATTTCGGGTCGCACATGTGTATTTTATGAAACTTTCAGTTTTATTCCTATTTGATGGAATGTGTCAAACTATCAAACTGAGAAAATGTTTCGTCGCCAGCTTGAAATTGTGTAGCCACCGAAATGCAATTTATTTATTTAAATTCTATGCAAATCCAAAACAAATTTTCATTCCATTGACACAATAACAAGAAATACTAACAATTCCGCTTCATTAAAATAATATATTATTAAAATACTATGCACAATATATATATTTTAATATTTGATATTAATGTTCAAGTTTTTAGAAATTACCAATAATAGAATCCCATGTCCAATTCCACGATTTAAATGAAGGGAGTTTGACTAGAATGTAGCATATACCTTGTGATCAAAAAAGAACAAGAATTTTAATTTTTGAATTTCCGCGCTTATCCATACAATCGGTAAATTTTTTATATTTTCACGCTGGTAACACTATTATACGAATTCTGTCAAAGTTTGACGCATATCGTACTATTAGTTTTTGTTTGGCGTCTATACAAAGAAAAGCTGAATTTCATTCAAAAAAAGCGTCGTTATGATGTGGCCAAAGAGATGATTTCCAACGCAGATAGTGACCCCACATTCATCGAACGCATCATAACAGGTGATAAGACATAGGTCTATGAATTTGACATGCCCACCAAACAACAATCGACCGAATGGTGCTCCGAAGGTGAGCCGAAACCGAAAAGAGAACGCCAAAGTCGGTTAAAATCAAGGTTATGATTTTGGGCCGACTTTGGCGTTTTCTTCGATATTCGTGGTGCGGTGCACTATTATTTCCTTCCGGACGGTCAAACGGTCAATAAAGAGTATTATTTGGCCGTTATGCGTCGTTTGCGTGAGGCCATTCTCAAAAAGAGGCCAGATTTATGGAACTAAAACTCATGGATTTTACACCACGATAACGCACCGGCTCACACAGCGTTGGTTGTGTCGCCAAAAACTCCAAAAAATCATAAACCAAACACCGTACTTGGTGAGATCATAGAGGCCATAAAAGAGAATTCGCTGCGTGAATTCGGCGGCCTATAAAACTTGTATGGAAAATTGGATCAAGCGTTGGCATGCATGTATTGCCGCAGGAGAAGAGTACTTTGAAGGCGATAATGAAAAAAAATTATTAAAAATTAAAATTTTGCATTTTTTTTTAATTCTAATTCTTTTTTGATCATAAGGTATATATGCCAACGGTATGCTTATACCAATGCTATACTTTAGATTTTCAAATTTTTTTAATTTTTCATAATTCAGAGAAAGATTTTGTAATACTCGCAATAAGGACAGATGATCGGTTAACCACATTGGGTTTAATATCATAAGTGGTATCAGATTTGCGTATGGTAATTGTATTATATGGCGTACGCGGCTAACAAATAAAAACACACCCAGGCTAAAACAAACTCGTAAATATATATCCTTGGAGTTTAGAATGTCACAATAAATTATTCAGCATCAACAACATGGTAAGCGTTTACAAGTTCCTTTAATCCTTACCTTATGATATCCCATAAAGTGTAGAAGCAACTGTGAGAATCTATTGACGTATACAGTCTGAGATTAATAATATAATTCACTCAATTAAATATAATTAAAAATTAATCACATAATGAAATTTTTTTATTAAGATAAACTTATTTTAGAGATATTTTATAAATAAAGTTTCTTTATAAGTTCAAAGTTTGGAAAAGTGTCTTACGACATATTAATAGGAATTCAGAGTTATAATCTATAAATTTCTATAAATCTCTTAAAAGTGGAAAGCCCACATTTTTCGTATTTAAAACCAATACTAATACTAAATTCCATAGATTGATGAATAGATATTTAGTATAGATATTTAGTAAACTTGTGATTAAATAGTAAAAAAACGGATTAATACAATGCCTTAAAACAATAGAGATGAATTGGCTCCTCCCCGGTCAAAAAAAAAAACATTAGCTGTATATAATGTAATAAAGTATATAACAAAATAAGTATTTTCTAAATAGATGGTCAAATAAATGGAGGATACACAAAAATTATACATTATTAATGTAACAACAATTTGCCGAGTGACGGTCCTAGCCTTGTCGAAATGTTGAAAAAAAAAACCTATAATATTCGCAAGTATGTAGTAGTAATGGCCCAATGCTTTAAAATATCCGTTCCAACGGGAATTACTCTTGCAGTTTCTTAGACAAAACTGCCTGCCATTCAAATCTATGCTATAGAATGTCTGAAAAAACAATAGGCCAACAAGACTATCTAATTTACATATGTGGATACCAAGGCAGATACAAAATCTTTCCAATTTTAGACTACCATATACCTACAAGTACGCCAGAAGCTGTGAAAATACTCTATCTGAGTGGGTTACAATGAATAAAATAACACTCACCTGAATACCAATGCATGGGAAACTCGACAGCAACCAAACAGATGACTAAATTGCGAAGAAGTGTACACAAACTCCCTTCATAGAGTCCGAACGTTTTTGCGGGATATCCATTTGTTAGACAATACTTAGAAACATAAAACATATGTAAGTTGTTCGATTTTACAGGCCTACAACAATTCAAACAGCAAATAAGAGTCAACAATGAAATTGGCAAGTTTCTTAGTTTAAATAAATCCGACTTAGAGTAATTGGTTTAATTTACTCTACCACTTCTCAAAGTTTGGACCAAAGTACATTGACATCTGCGTATTCTGTGCATTGCAGAAACAAATTTCTTGCATGTTCAAGCCCTGCGGTTGTCAGAAAATGAGTTCAGTACCTGTATTGGAGTTTCATTGAATCGAATGAAGTTTGGAAATTTTATTTTGAGATAGATCTTATAAGTCACAGTGTACCATTGTCCTCTCTAATAATAATAAATATAATAACTCAAAAGTTGCTAAAAGCTTCGCGCGCATAAATTAGTAATACGCTTCTAGAAGCAATGAATACATTTTGAGTAAAAATCAAAAAAAAAAAATAATAAAAATAAAATCGTTTACATTGATTTGGTGGGAGTTGAGTTCTGACTTTCAGAATAAAATGGGTATTAGAACACGACTTTTGGCCGATTTTTCTAGAACTGTTATCATTTTTTAAATTTTCTTTAAATATGATTTAAAATTTAAGTATATTTATGTTCTTAAGATAGTCAAAATTCGATATTATGATAAAATTTGTTGAAAATTGTGGGTATCATACCATGTTTATTAAAACATACTGCAGAGTTTGTTGATTTTTGTTCAATAAAATGTATGGTCTATAAAATTTTCTAATAGGTTTAGTAAAAATGGGTCTATGGATTAAAACTGACATATCTTTCCGACTGGAAGTGAAAAAAACCTTTATTTGCCCATATCTCAAACCACTCGGCAAATTTTATTTAAATTGGTTTTTTACTTTAGAAATGGACCTTTAAAATATGATCTGCTAAAATACTTTAGAAATTATATAGATTGACCTTTGCAATACACATCTTTACAGGAACGAAGTATTTTTATAGTAACAAAAAACATAAAGGATAGAGCCCTGAAACTATTTACGAAAACCAACAGGCTTACCAAGACCATGTTATCGTATCTCAGAATGGTTACAGTCTCCTCGGGGAAGTATGCAGATCTGTCGTCAGTTATTGCTTAGTCTGATGATGTGATAAACAATAATCCAGTCAAGTGAAGAGATAGGTTATGAAGAAACCTCGCAGATAATAGAGAGCAAAAGTGCTCAGGTGCATTGACTCAACTAGCCTCAACATAATAATAAAAAGACAACGTAATAGCCACTAAAACTACAAAAAACATGTCTTAAAAATATGTCTGAAAAGATAAGATGTAAAGACATAAAAAGAGTATATCAATAATTTGTGCTCATTCATATATTAACTGTAAATGAAATTTTCGGAAAAAATAGAAATATAGTCCAAAATATTACCGCTTTGATGTTTGATAAACACGGCTCAGATTTATTTTGCTGTTCGCAGGGAAAGTCAAACTCGATGATGTTATTGATAATAATTGTAATGATAATATAATAGTAAAATTATCATATTATAATAATCAATTGTTTTCTTCTGCAAAATATAATACACCTTTCATAATATTGTAAAATGATGTTTGTACTATGAAACTCTTGTATCATTTTCATGTAAATGTAATGATTTAAAATGTATGAAATTGTGATAAATTGAAGTGCGGGAATAATTTCAAGTTATATTCTGACGTTTCGTAAAATAAAAAAAATATAAATGCCACAGACATGAAAATCATAAGAAGTTAGTGCATCATGTGTGGGCAGGCATCATCATCACCACAACATCAACAGAATAAATTGCAAAATTTAATTATACTAATGATAATAGAAATCAGATGCATTAAGTAGAAATTTCTTTCATGTTTAATGTTTTCAGGCCAAGTATCTATATTTTTTGGTTGCTAGAGTACCAAAGTAAACAGCAAACCAACTTATGAGTAGAAAATTTTATTCCAGGCACGTTACATTCCAAATTAATTGCATTGTCTCAATGCAAATCCCAACATTATAAAATGTGGATTAAGTTTTTTACTATCGATTTGAATAATTTGATTTTTTCCATTCTTAAATTAGAAAAAATTGTTCAATAGTTCGTGACTATTGAAAGCTTTTTATTCCAGTTTTATAAAAAATAAATATTTAAGTTTTTATACATTCAAATCATTGAGAATTTATTTTTAAATATTTTATCTTTATCTTTAATAAGGACAAAATTCAATTAACTATATATTGCGAAAGGAATGTAATTTAGTTATTTAATTTGTATATAGTCTTCATCTGTTCCCGTTGAGTTCCTTTCTCAATATCCATCTTTGAAATAAATTTTTATCTTTCAAAAAGTTTTTGGTGAAAACAAATATGTAGTAAAATATCTATATTCTTAAATATTAAGTGCTTAACGATCATTCTTGATTGAGGCCTTCGTTCGAAATTCTGTTAACTATGATTTTCTTCTTCTATAGTACAACAAATCAGCTCGAGTTAAAAACTAAGAAAGAAACTTCTCTCAAATATTATAAAAACTTCTCTCACATATCGTCATTACTAATGAATTACGAATCCAAACTGTCATACGTTTAATAATAACATATACAACCAAATACATTCAGTAAAATCCACTATAAACGCAATATTTATAGTGGATGAGAATAGACGGTACCACATATCACTTGTTTATAGATCCCAAAATAGCGTACAACAGCATAAAAAGAAACACTTACTAAAAGCATTGTGCAAATTTATTATATGGAATACGAAATCAGATATGCATAGATAGTAACTTATGCGCAAAATTTGAAACTAAAACAGTATTGAAGTAAGGGTTTATAATTATTACAAATCAGTAATAAACATCAGAGAAATATTTTAAAGAGATCTACAAACGATTTCGATCTAATAAACAGGTCTGAGCTAGCAGTACGAGAATATTTTCTAAAACTAAAAAACAGCGGCAAGTAATTATGGCCTTAGAAACAACGAAGAGAAAGCAAAAGGATATAGGAAGGAGTTCATATATATGTGAATAAATATAAATTCACGCAATAATGTCAGCGGAGAAATAGCGTAAAGTCAAATGCTATGAAACAAAATATAATATACATAACTAAGAGTCAGAATCTGGACAAGTTCTTAAACACTTATAGCCTTGATGCTAACATACACCAGAGAGGTGCGGACTGTAACTATAGTAGATTTTATTACACCATATTATAGTTTGATTGTATTTTTGATAACAACATGAGGAATAAAATAACTTATCACACTGATAAAAACCAAATAGCTCTCGTAACTCATCATTCTGCAAGCCAAAGCCAGGCAAGAATGTTTTTTTTTATCAGAACCGCACAAGTTCTTCGTTCCGATTCAATTGAAAAATAATATATATATATGTTAAGTCCCGATTTTTGTTCTAGAGAAAATATCCTTTTTTTAGCTTTCAGTTCAGTGCAGAGTAAATCGGTCATAATTAAAATTTTTTATTTAAATCATACTGAACAAATTCATTTAATAAAAAAAAAAAACAAAACTCTTCAGTTTATAAAAATAAACGGCTTTTGAACTTTTTGTTCTTATTCTTTAAAGTTTAAACAACTAAAGAGTAATGACCGCTCACTTTCAGTATTCTTTAGAGCTGTTGGTACTGAACCGAAATAAATTAATATATCATTTTTTCAATGTTAACTTTTTTTTTGCCATAAATGACGCGTCGTATGATGAAAAAAAACTATTTAAAAGTTGGTAACGTTCGAATAGAAATGAAAAGACAACAACAAAAATTTTAGTTATTTTATTGAAATTTGGCTGACTATACAACGCTGTCTTGAGTATTACCAAGTATTCATCACCAGTGATCTTAGGAAATATTTGAATTTTTTAATTAATTTATAGTCCGTATATAAATTGTTTGCACTGCAAGTGCCAGGCTTAGAACTCATGCCTGTCAAATTAGTCATTTTTCCAATTAAGTTTCGATTCGAAACACTAGTTTTTACATATAAAACTAGTGTTTTATATTTCACTTTAAATACAAAAGAGACAACTACATCCAATTCACCAATTTTTTAAACGTAGTCTATATGTATAGCATTCTTTCCAATAGCTCTACTCATATATAAAGTAGTTAACTAACATAGTTAGTTAAGCTAAAAAATTATTTTAGAATTTGGTCTGTAAATTTTAATAAAGCATTTAGCTTTCTGAATGCTGATTTATTAAAAACAGAATTTCTATTCTATTTGTTAATAGTTTTCTTTGAGTGATCTTTAGATAATCCATAAAAGGGCTTAAGTCAAATTATATTTGTGTTTGTAGACGGCGTTAAACAATATCAGGTACAGTCTTGTGTAAATAAAATCTTGATGCCTGGAAAACCTATGCAATGTAAAAATGTTATATTCCATTATATTGAACTGTTTTTAAATATTATTAACTTTCAATATCTTCTCCACTGATTAGTTGTTAAATTATTGTATATGCGTATCTTATATGATTGCTTTGTTTGTTTACAGCGTATGCTCTTACTGACATTTGCTTCAAAGGCTGCAATTTCAGTATGAAAGATGGATGATTTGTTTCCCATAAGATTGCTTTTGTAAATCTACATACTACATTATTGTGACTTTATTACCTGACTATATAAAGTTTATTTAATATACCAAATAAATGTTATAAAGCGATGCTGCTATATACTAATCTTGTAGAAATTTTAATTTTGATGAATATATTAAATCGTTATAAAAGTGTGTACCGAAATTTTAGCTGCTGGCTTCACTGTCTCTGGTTTATCATTTTGAGTAAAAATATTAGTTTATTACATTGGTTTTTTTTGTAATCCATTTATGAAAAATAAAATTATCATATACTAAATACAAAAGTCACCAGTGCTACTAGATCTGGTTACCGTTTGTGCAATATTTAAGAATATCAGGACTGTGCTATCTACTTTGGAAACCGACAAATACTCGTATCAGAATATGATCACTTCACAATTGGAGTTCAATACGAACTCGTAGTAACTATCACTTTAACTATTTATATTTGCATACATATAGTTAAAGTCATAGTATAGTGTTATAAGAATAACTCTACTTGTAGTAGTATCCGTATCAAAACAACGTAGGGTTGTATGATGTTGGTTCTTGCAATCATACAAGGCTTGGATAAAGGCTTTAATTAAGACAATGTTAAGATTAAATGGATATTAACTATTTATATTTGCATACATATAGTTAAAGTCATAGTATAGTGATATTTATTTTTTTTTGCGGCAAGGAGGAGTGGAATGCCTACGCACTGACCACAATCCGGTGCCCCGGAACCGACTCGCACGGGCTAAACCACTCCCCCTCATTCCTAGAGACCTTGTTCTACCCCGCGACTACGTTAGTATTACTTCGAGGATAGTATAATGAAATAGGAATAAGTCTACTTGTAGTAGTATCCGTATCAAAATAACGGTGGGTTGTATGATGTTGGTTCTTGCATTCATACAAGGCTTGGATAAAGACATTAATTAAGACAATGTTAAGATTAAATGGACAACAATAATTAATTTCTGCTATTTTTTAATTTAATGCTTTTTTATGAAATTTTATAACTGTTGGAGTAATTATCAATATTTATCTACAATTTTATGTTCATAGAATAAAAATTTATAGAAAAATTATTTGCCATTAAGACTGTTTTATAGCGTATGAGAACATTTCATATGTTATAAAAATGTTAATTTTATTCTATTTGTCGGTATTAGTCAACATAAAGGAGCTAATTAATAATATTAATATCCTAATGAGTAAATAAACAAAAAAAAAAATTTTATATATTTTTAATTTGTTCGTTAAGTATTCTACTAAACATAAAAATCGAACCTTAAGTCCAAACATAAACGGAAAATATCAAACAATGCCGGTCATAAATGGTTCCAGCTACCAGTAAGGCAAATATGGATTACAACATGCAAACACCCAAACGCCCACAGGATGATGTAGGCAGGATGTTGAGCAACATGTGGTTGGCATAGTTATTTCGCCCGAAAGCATGCCGAGTGCGTTTACTTTATTGGAAATGACAACCAATGAGATTGCTGCATGTTTTGTTCCAGTTGTCTGTCTGCACAGGATATGCATAAAAGCCGAAGTCACTTTGGCAGAAGTATCATTCGAATCCAGTTGTCCAACAAGTGAATAACTCAACAGTTACAAGTGAATAACAGCTCAGATTTTAAAAGCAGAATCAGCTTTAATTTTTGTTTTAAAAAGTTTCATCAGAACTACCAAACAAAACGTTAAGGTGAGTGTTATTGTATATATTCGTAGTTTTTAATATATTAGATTTAATAATATTAATAATACTTAATTTTATATAATTTATAAAAAAAAACAGTTACATATAATGTTAAAAAACAAATACAAGAATGTGCATTTTTACGATTTTGTGGAGTAAAAAAATCACCGAACTGATATATTAGACATCTCATAAATCTATATATCTCAGTGTTTCTTTTACATAGGGACTATTATTTTAAATATATATAAATCAATCCAGCCTACTCGTTTTGTTAAAGTCGGAAATTATAATTGTCAAATAAAAAGAAATATAATTTTTTAATAAACTCATATAAGTCGTCTTATTACAATTCAAAAGTTTTTAGTGCTTCACTATATCATATAATATCATAAAGTATCGAACCTTTACTAAAGTAAAGGACGCATGAATAAATGTATATTAAAAGAAATTGGTGAAATGATAGAATCTAAATAATAAATAAATAAGTAAAATATAATTTCCAAACATTTTGCTGTTAATGAAATGTATAAAGAAATACTTTGTACAATAAATTTAAAAAGAATATAATTTTTGTAAAAAAATTTTCTTCTTTTTTCTAATACTAAAGTCACTTTATAGTTAATATCTTAGTTATAATTTATAACTTATAAATATAACTTATAAATGTAGTGAAAAAACGATGAATTTTAATTTTGGCAACAATTTTTCGTGATTTGAACAATTTTGGAAGGATTTGTCATATTTTGTTGCATCAATAAACGTTTTTATATCCCCATAGGGTTGTGTGTAAGAAGTAACTGAATCTGCTACCGTGTCGCACCAGCTAGTAATGACACACAACCCTATGTGGACATAACAAATTAATTCAGTAAATATGAATAAGATTTATTTTTTTTAATAATGTCTTGAGATATACAGGTTTATTTGATCAGTTTTCTTAACATTACTATTATTATATCTTTTTTTTACCATCATAGTCTTGTTATGATCACAATAGTTCTAAAATAAAACCGAATATTTGATTCTAACAATCAATAATTTGATCAAAAATGAATATTTTTCTTTCATTAAGTTGAAAAATCTTTCATTTCCTTCTTATTCCAATGTTATTTAATATTAACGTTGATCAAACAATATTAAATTAAAATTTCTCTTGATCTAATTGACAATGATTTAATAATATAGAGGCCACAAAAAAATATCTTCGTTTCGACTTAATAAGTAATATTAAGCTTTTTTCTTGAGATAAATTAATTAAGCACTCAGCAGTAATGTTAATATAAAAATTTTTTTTAAAAAATTGTAAAAATGAATATGAGTACTGATAAGTTCCTAATTAGTAGATATTTAAATAAACTCGATGTCTGTGTATTAATAGTTTATAATTCATCAAAAAATCACCATGTAATTGATAAAATAATGAATATAGTTATTTAAATTTCACAGTTTTTAATAAATCTATACTTAAGATAAAGTTATTATTATAAGTATAAGGCTAGCATCATACAATATTTTTCTAATAAAAAGTACACAAATGCCTATGGCATTGCACTGAGATGCATGATAGCAAGCATTATTAATGGATCATAATTTGCTTAGCATAATTTGTTATAGAGATATATTTAGAGCGGAAATCAAATTTTTCGAAACGAGAGAAGATTTAGTTACCCTATACTAAAGTACAGCGCATACATTTTTTTTATGATTAGTATAATTCACTACACATCTTCATTTTATGAAGATCTAATCATCATACTAATCATCATGATTCACAAATAAATCATTTTTTTTAATTAATAAATTTGAACGATTATTTTTCATAATGTTATAGTTTTTTCTCAAATCAACACAGTCAAAAGCTGAGTCAGTAGCTAATCAATGTACACAATCCCAGGTCATCTTCTCTTCAATAACGCACACTTTCAACATCCGTTTCGATATATTTTTGCAGATAGCTTAAATCTACAGAATACTAAGCGAACATATACCGTTCTCGGTAAATTTTTAACAAACTTCACAATAATTCATCTTTCAATAAGTTCCATTTAGTAATATTCATCAATCTTCAATACTAGAATGAACATTCCTTTTCGTTTTCTCATTTAAATATGTTAAAGTGTTTCAAAAAGTGTGTGAAATCAAAAAATTTCTCTTAATGCTAACATGTTTCTTAGATTCAAATTATCAAGAAAGGTATATATCGAAGCAGAACTACTGAATATTGTTGATGTGTACTCAAAATCATTCTCTACGTTCCAGCTTAAAAACACGTCTCACTGTTTTACACCTGTCGACTTTGCATGGTTCCGATATTTTTCCCTGTTGGAGTCCTTTAGAATATGTTTCCGTTGGTAGTAGAAAGAAGTTTTAGTGATATTTTTTCTGTTATAAACAAAATATTTAGTTATTAAATTAAACGATAAAAAGATTGAAAAATAATGAAATCTTTTTTAAATATTTTTCTATCCGCTTTAGAAGAGGACTTTGTCGATAAGTCTTAGCGTCCTTAATAACTTGTATCAATTTGTTTCTAAACGCTGGGTCAATACTTATATTAATTATTAATAATATAGTCTATAATTCATTATTAATTTTTATAATTGGACGGCTTCTATTATTATAAGAAAATCTACATATTCAATATTATCAAGTTAATATTGAGTTCAAATTACTCAATAATACTCTTCCACTAATGTCCGTGATCATATGTCACGTACTATTTAGATGAATTGAAATGTATTTTTTTTTTAATTTTCAATGAATTTAAATCTTTTTAATATCCAAAATTTGTTCATATGATTTTTTAATAAGAAAAATGGAACATATTTTGCAACTCCGAAAAAATTTCCACAAGTATAACTAAGCCAAGTCGTGTTGGCCGCAACACGTTCCATGAAGAATTGTTTTGTTTCAGATGCAAATTGGTAATTGATATTTCCATCTATTTTCCTATGCAATGAACCAGTTGCACTTGCTGTCATTATTAGCATACTTTGTTTGCTTGTGGCTTAATCACACTGTAACATTGAACTTAAAATTCAGGAAAGGTGCGATTGTAAACATTGCCTTGGCTGCACTGTGACAACATGTTGCACAAATAAGTTTCTATTACTTTTATTTTTATAAAATATTTAATATTACTCGAATTGGAAATTCGCTACATTGCAGTGTGTGATAGCGTCAGAAATTAGTTCAGCAATGTAATTTTTTCATTATATGTTATTTAAATAAGTCCTCAGCGGCCAGAATTTTTTTAGTGAGATAGCACAACAGTAGTGCATAGATATCGTCTCAGATTCATGCCACACGGGAAGAATACTACTAATATCCTCGCAAAACTAATCACGACCACATGCCTTTTTCATATCATAGAAATACATTTTCTGCCTATAACGTTTTTCAGAATTAAAATTATTAATTCAAATACAAATATAGAACAAAATAAGGTTTCTGTATCTATATTTGTGGCAGCTACGAATTTCTGGCGAGTGCAATACTATTAAAGTGTATTATCACTTAACTCTTCATTGTAAACATATTTAGTTTTTTAAAGATTAAAGAAAGTTCCATCCTAGAAGTGGTTTTCGGGATACATATATTATAAAATATATAATATAAGAAAAACAATGCAATGCGATATTTCTATTTTCTTAGTTTAAAAAAAAATTTATTTTCATCTGGACAATGCACTAACTAATTCAAACATGGGACGAGATCTTGTCCTTACACTAAACATATTTAGCTTTAATTGATCATTGTTTATTCTTAAATGAAAAAAGGGTTAACAATTGAAAAAACTTCTAGCGAATTCTGATTTTATCACTGCATCTAAAGCATATTTTAAGAGCCATGTTATCTTACTTTTGTAAGATTGTGAAAGGTATATAATTATTAAATAAAAAGTGAGACTTAAAGAACTGTTGTATTTTCTGAAATACATCCAAAAACTTAAAATACCCTTACCCTTTATTATAACGTTATTTCTGAAGGTTTATCCAATGGCCTTTTCCACATGGAGTTTATATACTATATAAAATATTACTTCCGGTATACTTTTACGGAAATGAGAAGTCTTCTTCTTCTTCTTCTTTATTATATTAATTCTATAAAGATTGTTGTTTTGTTACAACAATTGAATTAGACATATTTGTGTAAAATTATGACATATCAAATTATTATGTTTCTGTAGAGTTAGACGTCCAACATTCACGCCATCTTTTCGGCAGTCGACCCGGTAATCTCGCGACTGTTAGTTTCTCTACCATTGCAAGTGAGTAGAAGTGAGAATATTAATTGGTTAAAATGCCTTTTTCTTCCTTATAAAACTATACTAGAAATGTGAAAAAATTGCACTGAATTATTATTTCTGACTAGTGATAATATCTATCATTTTTCGATTTGTATTTCTGGATAACTAAGTTTTAGAAAAATTGGCATTTACCATATCTTGTGTAACTTAACTAGCTCGAACTTTAACCCGTAATATTATTGAAATCACAGGTCATTGTCTTAAATATATCAATAACAAAATCATTTTATATCTGTGAATACCGTATTTAGTATATATTTGAAAAAAGTGTGATAGTGCTATTTACACAAATTATTTATTATAAGTGCAAATATCGTGAAACCGATTGAGAATAACTCACAATGCTTGCTTAGAAGATGTAGCGAATAACAACAAAATATATATTACAAACGTATTAGGGTAATGAATCTGTTAAAGCACATAACAAAGCGCACGTTAAGCTAGGATAATAGATAAAAATTACTATCACATCACGCGACGAATTGTGTACATCACAGGTTGAGCAGGATGAAAGTCAGAAATGGAAAGGATTTTCATTAAAGTAACTTTAGGAACATAAAAATAGAATTGCAATAAAGATAAGGATTTTAAAATATTGTTTAAAATGCCTTAAGTGTGATTTTAACACTTAAGAATTTGCAGAAGTGACAAAATGAAATAAGTATTACGAGTGCCACAATAAATTTTAATAAAGTTCTCATCATAATCATCATCATCATTACTATAATCATTCTAAACATATTATGCCAAGGATGTTGGTAAAAAAAATTACACTTGAAGTAACAAAATTACATTATAAAACTTACTTACATCTTAGCACATTTTTCAAATATTCACTGCATTTTCATTCATTCAATTTGGTTGACAATATTTTATAATCCTTCATACGTCATAGAGAGTTTCCCCTTCATAAGGAAGGGAAAATCTGAAAGTTGTAGTAGTCAGTGAAAAATTCACTGATGAAATTAAGTTCTTTTTATTTAAAGCTCCTTATATGAGGCGTGTATTTTAGTATTCTTTTTGGTTTGTTTAAGTGATATAAGCAATTCAATGATATATCAATTGCATTTGCACAAATTTACTTCCAATTAAATCGAATATAAAAATTAGACATCATTGCATTCAGTGCATTTAAGTTTTAAAGTGAAGTAATGTCACATTCATTTGTGACGTGGGAGTATCACGTTTTATATATATAAAACAAAATGATTAAAATTTATATACATACAATTCTAAATATATTTCTAAACAAAGATTAATAAACTGTACTAAATACCTGTTCTAAGGCGGAGGTAATTACATCAATTGAAATATTTTTGAATAACTACTATTTACTACTACAGTACGTAATAATAATATATATGTATTTCTATGTGTTTTCCAGCATCCATATATAAACTTAACTTTGAAATTAGTTTGATGCTAAGACCATCATTATGAGCTCCGCTATCTGCATCGTTTAGAATTTGTTCATCTTTTAATATCTCTTGATATCAATTTTAAGTTTTCAACAAACATACTAGTTCTAGTTTTTACCCTATTTTCAACATATTTGTTGTTTGAGTTTAATTTTTTGACTTGGATACTAAGATACTATATGGCTTCAACTGCAATTTTAGTCATAATTTGCTATGACTAAATAAGATACTATATGGCTTCCACTTAATATACCAGACGCTGTATATAGACTGACAATGAGACTAACAATTAAGTTTTAAATATTAACGAATTAATTTTAAATAACTTGAGCTAAGTAAATTAAGATAAATGGTGTATGATTTATTAAAAACTGCAAACAATGCTTTGCAGCTCACTAAAGAAGACGTAATATTCTTTCCTCTAGTTCCATTCTAATTAATAGTTGGGTGATCAGCTCTTTCTGAATGATGAATTTAAATATCTTAATAACTTCTATATCTGCAAGCTTTCCGTGAGATCATCTCACTCTCACTGCTGGAGTGACAGATACGAGAGATCGAAAATATAGACCTGCCTTTAAAGGAGCAGATTTCTCTTAAGGGTTCATCGTGCGACAGGAGACCATGCAATAGCGTTCGGTTAAACATTTTAAATCAATGTTACAGTTGTGAGGATGTTGCGCAAACTGCATCATAACTATACTATTGTTGCAGCTGCAGTTCTTTCTAAAGCTTATACATATACATATGAAGAATATTATAAATTAAATAAATTCCATGGGAGGTAGTTCTAAACAAATTTTTGTACTTTCCTATACGCCAAATGGTTTTGAAACTTACAATATAACTAAAGGTCACTTACAATATTATCACAAGAGTTAATCAATATAACTGGGATGTAACTTGAATGTATATTTAACAATATCTTAAAAAATCATAATGTAAATTAAACAACAAGTATCTCAACAAGTATGTTTGAAGCGCTATCGATACGACTGAGCCCAACTTCCTTAAAAGTTTTAAAGATCATAAACTGTTGTATGATATCACAAGCAAGTTTATATGACTTCTAAAACTAATAGCAATATTTCTTTATTACAATAATAAAAATTAATGCACTTTTTTTTACTACTTTATATTTTAGAATGTCTTCACAAACTGTTGCAGCGGTCGCTATTGCTGTCATTTTCTTGACTATCATGCAATTCTCAATGGGAGCTACAGTGGCACCGCTTTGCCAACCAGGTATCATTGAAGAAATGCCACCACATATTAAGAAAGTTTGCATGGCGTTAGAAAATTCAGATCAACTAACAACTGCGCTCAAGTCGTACATTAATAATGAAGCAGCCAGTAAGTATATCAAAGCAATGAGCTCAGAAATAAATTGAAAAGTCAAAAACAACTGTTTCTGAATTATAACTCCTATTCTATAAGCTATATATTACTCTATAAGTTACTTTTCACTAGTATCCATACACTTTAAAGTTTACTATTGAAAATACCTTTATTACATTTTAGCTCTTGTCTCGAAATCAGAAGATTTGCTTTCCCCAAATTACGGAAAACGTACAGATGTGGACCATGTTTTCTTGCGTTTCGGCAAAAGGCGTTAAATTGTGAATAGTGAAGAGTACTTAAATTGATTTGGGCGCAATAAATGGATTTCTTAATATGTAAATGAATTGATACGAACGCAAAATAACAACATTTTCAACACATAAACTTACAGTTAAATAATTTTAATGAATATCTTAAGTTGATCTCTTTGTATAATAATAGTATAAAAGCTATAAAATAATTATATTTATTAATATTAAAGGGCAGAGTACACGGATATATATATATGTGTATACATATAAGGGAACAGTGCAGCAACAAAAATTATACTAAATGGAAAATTTTTATTATAATCTTTTAATATATATAAAAAATTTATATAATGTAAATGTAATTTATTCATTATAAATGTGAAATGTAAATTGTTTTTAATAGCAACTTATCCAAGATGATTTTCTTATTTTAAATAAAATTTTCGTTCCTCTCAAAAGTAAGGCAACTAATCTGTTTTTGTATTTCTCAAGGGATCACAACATAAGTTGGGGTTTAATTGCAGAGTAGAATGTGAATCTGTCTTAGATTTTTACTTAGTGTTCTTAATGTGAATTAAATATGCTATGGTTATGTCTAAAATGTACAATGTTATAGCTTATGCTTTAAGAAAATACCAAATTATAAAAATATAAAAAACTTTAATACAATTAGAAAAATGTTAACGATACTCATAAAAAAGTCAGTGCTTGAACTATCCAATTCTCAAACCCAATGGATCAGCAATAAATATTTTTTAAACGCAATCTTCCCGCCACTTTGTAGGTACGCATTTATTAAATATGTGGTTCCACATTAGACAATTATGATTGTGAGTTATAAATTTTTGACTATTTCCCCCTATTTCTAGCCATATCTATATGGTTACTATCATTTTGCATTTCTGTCGATTGTATAATATTTCTTAATAATGAATATTTTTTTCGCCCGTACAATCGTACAATTACAAACTCTCAGAATTTCTCTGCTTTAAGAAAGATGCTTTTCTTTTCTTTATTATTTCCATACTCCTTTAGAAGCTTAAGGAGTCCCCAAAACTTTTCTACTGGCTTTTATGAAATGTTATAGTCCTGTTCTTCTCCAGGACAGTTCTTCTTTTCTTTATACTTATTAGTAACTTCCTTTGCAGTGCATTCTTCTCAATACTTAATTGTTCGAAACATGATATTTCCATGGTATTTTCGACATTCAAAACATTTCAAATTTCAGGTTACCATGGCATAGAGAAGTGTTGACCAAACATAACATATTATAAAACGATCTTTACTTTTTATATTGAGATAATGACTGGTAAACACTATTTATTATTTAAGAAAAGTATTAAGTGCTATTTCTATTTGGCATCTAGCATTCTAGGTATTTAAATTTTTTACCTTTTCATAGGAATGTTGTTAATCGTTAAATTCGTGTTAGTATAAATGTTTTTTCGGCTTACAATCATATATATAGATCTATTTATAAGGATTCGTAGTCCAACTTCTTCGCTGCTTAAGTTAACTATGTTAACTAGTTCTTGTAAACTTGCTTAACTGTTGGCGATGAGAGTAGTGTCGTCTGCATAGTGTCGGCTGTATAAATACAGCGGTGTTCACTTTGACACCCATATCAATGTTCATTACTAAATATTCAAAGATGTTTTCTGAGTATATGTTGAACAAAAGGGATTACTAATTGCATCCCTGTCTTACATCTCGTGATGAAAGACACGAGACCGATGAAAATCGGTCATATGACCATTGATATCCACGTCGGCACTTTGTTGTCAGTATAAATTACTTATCAAAGAATTTTTTTTGTTATCTATTCCCAGAGATTGAAGAATTTCCATAAGCTTATCATGTTTAATGGTGTCAAAAGCTTTCTCATAACCGATAAAGCAAAAGAATATATTTTTTGAACATCTTTGTAATTTAGAACTAGAATATATAATAAAGTCTCTCGAGATCCAAATCCTTCGCTAAAGCTGAAATGCGACTGACTTACTACTTCTTCACATTTCCTATATATTCTGGCATATAAAATTTAAAAATGAAATAAAATGAGTGCCTGCGACACTACGCTAATAAGTCTATATTCACCACAGTACTTTGCATCGTTTTTTTCAGGTAGTGCTACGAACGTTGACTTTAACCAGTTTTCAGGGTAGCATTCAGGATTGTACACGAGATTAGTTTCATAAAGTTAGTTAGCTCTTAGTTTCACTAAGAGCGTCATATTTTCGTCGTCTATTAGTTTAAAAATTTCGGACGTTGGCATTGATTGAAAAGCGTTTCTTACTTTATCTTTAATTATATAAGTTTCAGATAGGTTTTTTGGAACATATACATCGTGATTGAATCTATTGTCATCTGAAAACATTTTCAATATATGTGTGTTCCATATGTTTTTTTTCAGCTATGTTAAAAATTATGATTTTTGCGATGAATACCTACGGTTTCTCTAAGTTTTTTATGTGAGTTAAAGTCCAATCATCCAATTATGTACTTATCCAATCAGCTTTAATAGTGCGAATCTTTCTTACTTTCTTGTCTTACTATCCAATGTAAGTTAATGGTTATTACTTTTATACACATGACCGTTATTTATCAATTGCAATATTTCTTTTGTCATCCATTGAGTTTTGGCTTTTTTTTATACATTCCAAGAGTCTCTTTTGCTGTACATTAAGTGTATTCTTAAAATCTTCCCATATAATTTCGGGACTTTCTGACAAAATGTATCGTAAACGCTGGTTAATGTAATTTTCCAATGAACATTTTATGTTTAGTTTTTTATTTAATTTTTAATTTCTCCAAATTATGATTTATTTTAGATTTCTTTTTGTGAAAGACAGCAAGTCTGACAAAAATTGTTGCTCACAAAAGATTGTGGTCCGAAGGTACATCAGCCCCAGGATATGTTGTAACTTTCTTAATTGAGAAGCAAAAATGATTATTGGCCAGAATAAAATCTATTTAATTTTGCGACTTACCACTGACTGTAATTTTTACTTCCGTTACCAACTTTTTCATAGGTGGAGTTGGTCTTATCATTTATGATTTATAAAACGGAGAATAAAATTTATCAATTGTCATTACTATGAGACCAGATGTCTATAAGAAAAAGGGGTGCATATTTGAACTCAATAACCTCAAATGAACCTAAAATAGTTGACAAATAAAAAGAGTATAATTTTTGTCGCTTAGTGTAATAAACGTCAACACCATATTTTTTAAATTAATTTTTAAGTAATGCTTCACAAATGATCATGCAATAATTCACGTCAAAATAACTAACAATTTATTTAAAAATGTATAAAAACACATTTTCAGTAAATAATATTTACAGATTACTACACCATGAAGTTATGAGGCTCAATGGAATCTCAGTTGCTTCGTTGATAAAAAGAATTAATACATTTAGACATCAAAGTCGATCTTTTTAGCTACCGATGTAGCCTAAAAAGTCACTGCTTTTGCAGTTTACAACTTTTTTAAAAATTTAGCAATCGGAATGTTACTGTCAATGACGTCCAGAACAGAGCTATAAGCAAACATGCAGACGATGCTATGACATGCAGACCTGCTCTCATAGCTTCTAGGGTAACAACAAGTCAATAACGATTCTAACCTTGGAAGTAAACACCGAGTGCACTAATTTTAAGAGAAATTAAAATATAAAACAGTTTTTAGGGAAATTGGAGCTCCAGGATGTTGTTTTCAGGATATTTTCACATTGACTGAAAAACTTTTTCGTCATTTTATTTGAAAAAACAAATATTGTATATATCGTTCTTTGCACTCTAAAATTTACGTATAATAATATATTATATATAACTCATATTTGTCAACAGGCGTTGATATACAACCCGAAAGGTAGCAAAGGAAAAGGTCGTCCAAAAACAAAGTGGAAAAGGTCAAAGTTAAATGAAATAAATACCGTTTTGTAGCCCCTAGGAAGAAGAAAGGTGGAAGCGACTTATAGACAGTCTATGCCCAGAATAAGAGGTTCCTCGAAATCATTGACGTCGAGCAAGGCTTATTATTATTATAAATGTATTATATATTACGCATTTTGAACTTGTTTAAGGAATAGTAAAATTACAATATAAAAACACAGTTTTTGTTTGTATAATGATTTTCTTTATTTTAATTTTTAGAAAATTACACAGAGATAAATGAAAACGTTAAACAAATAAACAATTTAACAAACTCAATGATAAAAAAATTTAAAAAAATTAAACAAATTAAAATATTTAAAGACATTTTTAATTATTTCGTGGTGTGATTCTTTACACTTTATTTATGTTTAGTCTTCTATATCACTTTTTTTTTTTGGGTAAGATTTTTTAAAAAACTTCTATGAATTACTGTTATAAGAAAAACTTCATTTGTTTTTAAAGAAGCCGAAAATTCTTTCTTTGTAGCATTATTTATTATTTTAGTTTTTCGTTTAATAAATTTAGATAAAGAATAATTTTTTAATTAAGTAGAAACTATATAGCCTTATGTCTTGTATAAACTTCACATTTTTTACCTGATTTTATTAATCGAAATAAATTTTAATATTTAGTTTTTGTCAGGTATAAGATTGATTTTAAAAAATTTTTATTTCTTATTATTTCTTTATATTTTATATTGAATTAATAATAGGAATTGTTTTTATGTTTGAAATATAAATGTGACTTTTTCTGTTTGGAAAAATTTCAATTAAGTTTTAATAATATTTTTTATATAAGTTTCAGTACATTTTTTTGTTGGAGCTGTAATTTAAATAACAATTAGTTATAATTATTTTTAATTGTTTATTTTCAATATTAATATTTAATATTTATTATTAAAACATAATGAATTTAATCATATATATGATATATTATTTTTCTGAATTGAAAAAATTAGAAATTTATTTATATTAATATTAATTTATATTTATAAAAAATTGCAATGAAAAAATTAAGAAAAAAGAATATTTATAGAATTTGTTTGTAAATTATAATAACTAAAAATTTGAAATTTAACAAAAATTAATATAAAATAAAATTATGGTAATTTATTAATTATTTGCTTAAAATGTTACCATTTATGAGTTCCAAATAATTTTTTCCTTTTTGGTATAAATTTTTATATTTTTTTGTTTGGTAAAAGTAATTTTGGAATTTGTATATCAACAATATGATGTTTCCTGTAATTATAAATTTAA